AATTTCTACTAGCCCTGTTCATGTATTACTTGTCCAGCAGCCGAAGGCTGATGGCGGAGTCGCGAAGCGACGAGGAGGGTAGGTGTGGGAGGGGGTTTTCCCCTCCTGCTGGTAGGGGTACGGGGGCCTCCCCCGGGAAATTTTGAAGATAGGGATGCAAAATTCTGCATTCTGGCTGTATTTTGGGTAAAAATTATATGTCACCTTATGATTGTACCTAAGACATTTTTTCTATTCGAAAAGTTTCATATTTATAATCATTTAGGGTATTTCGAATCACCTTTAAAGTTTACATTTTGACTTACAAAAATAATAATTATGATGATAAAACATGTTTGAAAATAAATTTAACAATTATCAAGTATATTGTTTGTAAATTATAATTATTTTCTTGCTCTTAGTGAGTAATTGGTGAAATTTACTGTAGCCCTGCAGGGCAAGTTTAAAGACATGTTTGGTAGCCCGACCTCAGTATGCAGTTGTCCCGGGCCAGCGGGCTAGCGTTAGTGTCAAACCCTGATTAAGATAACTACATACGTTTAAACTTTCACAGGACATAACCTCTAAACCAACCAGTGGTTTTCATTACTATCAGAATATAAATGCACGAAAATGACAGCTAGATTGTGGAGTCTCCGTTTACGCTATATGAATCTTTACATGCAAGCATATGCTTAATAGCTTGATGTAAATTACTACACAAATCCATTCAGATTTTTTTTTCAATGACAAAATTATAGAATTGATTTCAGGCAGGAGAGAGAGCGCAAACGCATGAATACGACTTTCATACAACGAGTAATTAAGAATTAATTTAAAGATTATGATTCAGCAGAAAAAGAAGGAGAAAGCTCTGTGGCAAAAGTCAATAAAAAAACAGACACAAACATTGCAATAAAACGTATCGTACATGTGTAAATGTAATGCAAGAAAATCAACTCAACTGCGTGTCGTCCATTCCACACAGTCATCGATCCGTACCAAAAATAACAAGCAAATTCAAAGAATTGTGAACCAACGCTTTCGGTGTCTTAGTGGGTAAGATGCCTTTATATATGGTATATTGTGTCAAGTATGAAAACTTGGGACAAAATGGTGTGGAAAAGAGTATGCTCCAATGCTGATGCAGTAACGGGAAAAGAAAACTAATATGACATGTGTTTATTTACGTTTGTTAAGCATAAAAATGGTTATCTGAAAAAAATATCCAAAAACAAGATACGTTTGTGAAACACTTATGCCACCGACAGTAATACAATTCTGGAGTGGGACGTAGACTGAAGTGGTATACAAGTACCCTTGACAGTGCAATAGTTATGGGCTAAGTTAAAGTTGACAACAGACAGACATACAAACAGACAGACAGAGAAAATACAATAAACCCCCAGGATCTTTCTATCCAGCGGCATAAAAATCGTCTCCAGTTTTAAGCAGCTGAATGCCCTTTGTCTTACGTTTCCTTGGCAAGTCAAATGATAAAATCCTGAAATGATCCGAAAATTGTAACGTTTTTTGATGTTACTTTAAAAGTTGAAATCTCATCAATTCCGACAAGCATGTTACTTATCAAATTCAGGAATATTACAAGTACATGTATATAAAAATACACCATATAACCTGACATGGAAAAGGTAAAGGTGAACTTAAAGTTATTTAGTGAGTCAAAATCATGTTTGTCTCTTAGGTATCTGTAAGATAAAGCAAACGATTAATGGAAATTTTGAGTATAGATAACACAACACAAAATTGCACTGCAGATCAAGAAAAAACTGCACAATATAAGTTCCCAAAAACAAATTTTTGCATCTACTGTTTCGTTGTTACATGTATCGTGCATATGCATATGAAGGTCCAAACGCCATACGGTGTCAATTTTCGCGGACTACTTTCCCTACATTTTACATGTACAAATAAAGCCACTGGCACAGATATAGAGGTCCAAACTCCATACAGTGTCAATTCTCCAGGACTACTTTCCTTACATATACAAATAAAGCCACAGGCACAGACTTTCCAAACTTTATCTAAATCACGATAAATGATTAGCGCTAGTAATTCGGTTTTCAAAACGTTAGCGTAACGTAATACTGAGCTTGGAACTTGATCATTGTCAAGACTCTTATGCCCTGTTCACACGGAGAGTTTAATTCGAATTAAACGTAAAGTTACTGCGAATTAGCTTCGCTTAGCGTTCACACGGAGAATTTAATGCGAATTAGTTTAATTCGAATTAGTTTACTTCGCATTAAATTACTTCGCATTAGCTCCGTGTGAACGCTAAGCGAAGCCCCCCCCCCCCCCCGACTTTTTTCCCAACATAATTTTTACAATTTGAAATGTTCATTAAAAGGCTGGTTGTCCCCCCCCCAATATATACTACATGTAATTGATATCAGGGAAATGTAGTATTGAATGCAAGAAGTTGGTACTGAAAGAAGTTGACACCGTAAAAAGTAGGCCTCTAATCTAGTTTAATAATCATTTTTGAATATTGTTTAAATATATGGTCTATCGACATTCATATTTTCGGTACTTGAGACCATGGTTACTTCAAATTTTCTGCGCATGCTTTACTATAAGGATGCAGAAGTAAAGCAATATTTTCAGTTGATCAATAAAAAAAATCCCTCCATAAAAACAGATTTTTAGGTTCTGAAACCCGCAATTTTTTTAAAACCTTATACTTACAGAACAACTTTTTGGAAATATGCATTTCTAAATTCAGTATGTTTCCTGTTTGTGCGCCAGGGTGTCGCTTTAATGGGACGAACAGATACTAGTATCTCTAACCTTTAGTCAATGTTAACGACTTTCTCTGTATGTGGTTGTCAACGACAGCGACGTCACTAAAGAATAATGATTCCGGAGATTCTTAATTGTTCAAAAATATTTACAATAAAATTTGAATACCCATACTACATGCATATGGTAACTTCTCGGGGACAATGAGAACATTAGTAGATTTTCCAAGATTGATATCACTGACAAAATTCATACAATGTATATTATATGTACAAATCATTATTCTATCGCATTAAGGTTGGCCCATACCTTCAAAATTTTCTGTCAAACTAATAATTTTTGTGTTTAAATATCTTAAATAACTCATAAACTAACTAAAATACCAATAAAAGACACATCTTTGCAGGTTTATTTTAATACAACATGTCTAGTACCTAGCTCTTAAAATTGAACAGCCAAAAGTGAACAAAAAGAAGTCTGATATCATTTTTTATCGCTTGCACCAAATCACGTCAAATTCATCTTAAATCTTGTTAAAATCAAAAATAATTAATATTCCAGGAAAATATTTGAAATTTTCTCTGAAAAACACTGATGTTGAACACGTCTTTCAGAAAAAAATCTCAAGTAATCAAAGTTGTTTGTTCATTTTTTCTTTAAAATTATAAAGAATTATATCTAAGGTTCACAAAAACACATAATTGTTGACCAGAAAAATTTATAGTCGAACATATGATTTTGAAAATCAGTTTTTCAATTATTCTTTGCATAATTTTAAAAAAGGAAAATTTAAAAAGGAGATCATGCTTAAAATAAATGAAAAAAGATTAGTTAATTTTTTTAAAAAATAAATATAAATAGGTCCATAAAGGCAATTAAGAATGATGCTTCTTTGTTTGTACTTCATGGCACTATGAACAGAGTACAAAGTGTTAAATTCCATAACAAATGTATATCAAATGCTTTGTATGCACAATAACACTGTACTTATTATATGTATTATTACAATCATCAAAAAAGATTTTATTTCTTTTGACAAGCTAATCTTAGTATTGGTGTGCATAAAAGTATGGATCTTCCTTAATTTGCTTGATGCGTTCATTACAAATTCTTTCCAATCTTATATCTTGGATATATTTGAAAGATATTAATCTAACTACGAGTATTTACATGTAATATTCAATAAAAGAGTTATACAACCATGTGCCCGAGCCTTCTTGGGGGACTTGAATAGATGTGATTGTTTTTGCTTTACTGGTATTGTTTATGGTTTTGTTTACGAATTTCTGTGTACCTTTACTTCCTGAAATTGTTATCTTATTGAAATGATTATAATTTGTTAAAGATAAAATTACTTCGCGTTAATTAATACTGCATATGTATATTAAGATTATTTTTTTGTGTTTATTATTGTTATACGGAATTTTAATTCATAAATATATTAATATAATTCAAGAAAATAAACTCTTCACAGATATTCTCTCCAAAACGTTTTATGCAATTAACGATTTAGCAAAGACTTATGTTATCGTAAAAAAATAAAATTCAAAATCGCTATTTTAAAAAGTACAGGAATTTAATTTAAAAAATTGGGTTATTTAGTTAACACATACAAGAAAAGAAATGTAGAAAAAAAAACTTAATATATTTGAAAATTAACATATTTTGAAACATGTAAATTTTGAAAGTTGTCGATTAAAAATTTATAACGTTATGTTTACATCGCGACGTCATGTTTACATCGCGACGTTATACCGTCAAGCACGACTTTTGCGGAATATTATGTCATTTTTAAGAGGATCCTGACGAAAAACTAAAAGTGGTATCGGAGAAATTAAAACTGTTTTGGAAAATATGCATTGTAGACACCTTTTGGAAAATCCCTTATCACATTCAATCATAGGGCCGATTATAAACCATAACGACTCTTCTTCTTTGAGGTCCTAAATTCTGAGTAATCATTGAAATGGTAAATTAAAAATGTACATATCTGTACGAAGTAAATTTTTTTTCCAAATAATTTTTTTCGCAAAGTTATGGACAGTGTTGTTCAACGTTTACTACATGTACAATTTCAAAGGCAAAACGGTGCAGGTTTTTATGGCATGATGCCAGGCGTGTATAGTTTCGTAGTGAGCGGTTGCTCCTGACAATTATCAATCAGAAGTAAGCAGTTTTATATTGTCGTAAATGGAATTTGCGATTTATCCACACGCACACACACATAAACACTAAAATTAATGCAAGAAAAAACGAAGTTTTGATTGGATTTTTTATTAACAAAAACAACCATTATATTTGGTAATAAATTACGATAAACGTCTTTTGAAGACATGATGAAAAACGAAAGCCCTTATGCAATCGTCGGTTTTGTTCAGTCTTTTAAAGTCATGCCATGACAACACCGGGAAACAGGCTGTTGTGAAAAAGATGGAGAAATGGGGAAAATGATGACTTTTTCTACCATGGCTGTAACCTGTTAATAAAACAAAATTCTTTAAAAGTACACTTACAACAAAGGAAAAGCAAATTAAGACAATCGAAGCAATTTATTGTAAGAAGTCCTAGTCACGATGCAGTATATGTACATGTCGTTCCCTGGGGGCACCAATGTATTCTACATAAATCTACTGAGAATACTGTGTCCATTATCACACAAAAATTGTCCGAGCAATCACTTTTCCAGCGGACATTCTGCGGACAGTCAATTGGCGTAAAACATGACAAAAGTGACACCTGCAGCGCCGTAAGAAGTATTCCCATTTCTGTAGATTTATTACAGTTGAACAATACTATGAATGTCCAGCTATGACTAATGTGGTGGTCAATTTAATTTTGTTATTATATACTCCGGTCTTATCAAGAAGACCACTGACACATCTTGGCATAATTCGAAATATGTAAATCAAAGTAGTTTTTTAAGTTATTATGAAAACTTTCTAAAAGTTCACTGAAACTACCGGTATACAAATCGGGAGTAGAAAAAAGGCCTCTAAATACATGTATATCAGACGTGGGATCTTAGTCGCGAGAAGAAATCTTCAGATATTTGTCCTGTCGTTCGCAAATTTGATGAAAAAAAAAGTTCTATATATCAGGTCTTATAATCATATATCAGAATACTTACTTTATAATCCTTTCATCATGTTGGCAATGTACATAGATCGCATATCCTTAAAGCAACACCCCATCATCTGCTGGCACTGCAGAAGGTTAGGGTTGGCGTAACGTCGGAGGGATTCAAGTTTGCAGGTGAAAGGGGTACAGAACCTCTGGTCTCCGGCGGTTTCGCTGATTTTACAAAGAGTTAGGGTCATCAAAGAATTCATCATTGGGTTTACGGCAGTATTGTCCTGAGTAGCTTTAGGTTGAGCAATGACGTTGTTGGCTTCAGCAGCAGGAGTTGTTGGTGATTTCTTCATCAGATTCATAAGAGTCATCATCTGCAACATTTTGTTGTTGCCGTTTCCACCAAGGACGGCGAGACTAAGTGGGTCTATGCCTCCGGTGGCACCACCGGCACCGGCACCACCTCGCATACCACCACTTAACATGGCCAAAGCCATAGGGGACTCCAACTGAGCATCTGAAGCAAAATCAATCAACAAATGAAAAAGAGACTAAGACGAAAATGGGAATATCTTTATACATGTTTATTTAATTTTGAACAATGAACGCTTATTATAAAGCTATGACATTTAAGAAGTAAAATATCTTATACATAATGTGCAGAAGGGGTCATTTCATATTTCCACCAAAATATTCTATTCATAAACTAGTTATGGTCAAAGTCTTGAAAAAATCGATGCTGCGAAAAAAAGTACTCACATGCACAGCCAACTAAGGCTACAACAATAATTAATCCGTTCATGCTTAGTTTAAGTTCTGCTCAGCAACCGTTATGTTCAAAATACCGAAACACTGGGCCAAAGATAGTTTTTATACCACGGGTGTCAACTAATTGGCATGCTCGACATGTTAACAACGTGTTGGGCAACAATTCGTTTTGACAATTTAGGGATTGTTTTGTCTCTTGGAACATAATTACTTGTCATTAGAATTAACGACATAACATACTTTAAACTACCCTTCAAGGGACATCATACGTCACATCGGGTCATAAATATAATATCTAAAATACCACACCAATGCATATATACACTGTGACGCGTTAATTAACCCACGATGGTCAATGAGCCGAAAAATTTGAGTCAATGACCATATTGTTTTCTTAATCACAAAAATGTGCATTATATTTGGTTTATGTTTCCAACGTGATACCGCTAATAATGATACAGACATGTTGATTTTGTATTGTGTTCCTTCAAAGTAAAATGAATAGTCAGAAAAATTAATTGCATCCATTATCAAAGATACACGTGAGGTTAATTAGATGCCCTCTCTAAATGGAAATCGTGACGGTGGAGAGCTACCTTCAACCATCATCTCCGTTCGGTGGTCCAAGTGCGTGTGAAGCCCTGACGAGAATGAGTGAACACTATTTATTATTAATATCTCCATCATAAATAACAACACGGGTTCTTTGCAAGCTTTTATAAAGTAACATTTAGTGTCTAAAAGAACTTCAAATCTTGACTGTAGTGATGGATTATTTTTTTGTAAAGTAACTGATGCGAGAGAAAATACATCAGGTCTGTAATGTTCGGGGCTAAATATAACGGACAAAAACAATTCTCTCATAAATTTCTGTCCTTTTTTTTTTTACAGACAGCATATAAAAGTATACCTTACAAGAAGGAAAAATCATGACATTAGCATCTATACTAGACAGACCTAAGAATTTGGCGTTGATAGATTGTTCATTTAATTCTTCCAAAAGGACCGACAAAATTCAAAATAGAAACATAAAACTCGGTTCTAAACAGCAGATGGGATCTAGGGAAAAACTGGTTATAATTTTTCATAATTATATATTAATATTTTTTTAAATACAGTTTTGTGCATACATGTATATCGTGGATGGAATTGCTTTAAATTTTCAGATAAACTTGTTCTTTTTTTTATTTTATACGTACTATCAGTATATTTTTAAGTTGTATTTAAATTTTTCTGCGGTGGTACAGTGTACATGTATATTGAGCACTAATCTCATTGAGATTCGTAGAGACTAAAAATTTGGTCTGACGTCTCTACGAACAATATTTTTAGTCTCTACGAATCTCAGTGAGATTAATTAAGGACAAGTCACTAATGTTTCCCTTTGGTGTTAAGACCAGGATTGCGAAAATAAACTTTACAATGGTGTACTAGCCGTATAAGTGTGACTCAAAAAGCCAATCTACGTCTCCAATCGGTCGAGTGATTTTAGTCTTGGTATCTTTTGGTATATTTCGCCGGGAAACAAGTCTGAAGATATTTATTCGTCTATACTTGGAGTAAACTCACTACTTCTGTTACGCTGCTTTTCCGGAAAATTAATGTAGTTGTAGTCGAAACATTTGTTAAAATAACTAGAATTCTAGATGTTATCGTTCTAGCAATCATTTAACCATTTGCATTCTATGAATTTTACATGTCTTAATTTCATAATAAATAGAAACTCGATTTTCATACCTAAATTAATTCATTTATACAAATTATGCGTTAAAATATAGTATTTACAAATCTCAGGTTTTTACCTAGTCAGAGGCAGCTTAAAATCTGTTAATTCATATTCCATATGTAGCAAATATTACCTCTGTGATATTTGCTGATGGCGAAAACTTTTTCACTAACCTTTTGTACGGATGAAAATATCATTACCTTCCTTTATTCTTATTATTATGGAAAGCCATAGGGGACCCCCATGTCATGTTCTATATATTTCATTGAAAAACGATCCTGGCCGGTCAGGATGGCAACCCTGACCATGTCAAGATTTCAACATGACCAAGTCATGATTTTTACCATCTTGACTAGGTCAGGATTGATGGAAAGTCAACATTGATGATAACATGACCAAGTCAACATTGATAACATGACCATCTTATCCTGACCAAGTCATGATTCAATCTTGACCCCCGTCAAGATTAATAACATGACCATCATATCCTGACCAAGTCAGGATTGACAACGTTGCCATCCTATCTTGGCCAGGTCATGATTCAATCTTGACCAAGTCAGGATTGATAACATGACCAAGTCAAGATTGATAACATGGCCATCCTATCTTGGCCAGGTCAGGATTGATAACATGGCTCAGTCAAGATTGATAACATGGCCAAGTCAAGATTGAAAACATGACCATCCAATCTTGGCCGGGTCATGATTCAATGTTGACCGAGCCAGGATTGACAACATTACCATCTATCTTGGTCGGTCATGATTGCATTGCGCCAGGATATATTACTTCCAAACGCAGTCAAGATTTCTTCAAGCGTCAATCCTGGCCAAGTCAGGATGCAATGTCAAGCGTCAATCTTGGCTTGGTCATGATGTGTTTTTCAAACGCAGGCAAGATTTATGGTCATGATTGCATTGCGCCAGGATGTATGACTTCCAAGCGCTGTCAAGATTGCAAATGCAAGCGCTTCCCTAACAACGAAAACCCGCTAAAAATGTGTATTGGATTTGCTCCTCAGCTGACAGTGACAAATAACGTAAGTACAGGTGAATTTTTCCTCGTCAATCTATATGAATATCTTTTGTTGTTCTAATTAATGCAATGTTTCTTTTAAATAAGTGATATGAACAGCATTTCAAATAATCGAAAACATTCTGCAGTTTTCATCGAGGAAATTCGAATTTGTGTATCGGCAAATAAGTAATTCTGTGAAATTATGAACATAAACAAATAATGTTTCGTATGATCCGTTAAGAATCCAGTTGTTTACATTATACTTTCATAAGAATTTACGTATATTCAAGTGCAAATTATAGGACTTTTGGGGTGTAAAAACGGAGGGGTGGGCTTTGTCCTGCTAATCGATATACCGATAGACTGTGCATTATATTTTTTACAATATTTCAATATTGATCTTTTATTTACTTTTCTTCTCTTAGTACTAGGTTGCAGTGACTATGTTGTACTGAACAATCAACAAAACTCCAGATCCATGGCGCATTCAATATTTGAAAGTTGGTTATAGATCTACAGGTAGGTATTCTTTCATGTCTTGTAATTAATTCTTTTTTATTATATGCAGATAATTTACATGACTAATTCATCCATATTAAAAATTTATAAATGTAACTATTTATAGTATCTCAGATTGACACATGCTGACTGGAGTCTTTGGCTATGGGACCCATTTTGCAGTAATTAAGAATGTGCAGGAGAAAGTGGTACACTTCATTTCAGTCGCATCTTTCGACAAGCGGAAATCCATGGTCTACCTGGAATAAGTTTATTTTGGCATCAATACAACCTTTCTCCAAGGTCAAGGTCAAAGATCAAAGGCCAGAACTGATGTCAGCTGGAAAGACACCACAATGGGTATTGGATTTGTATTTTAATTTATACAATTTATATAATTTATCTTCTTCTCTGCAACCTCTCCACCAAATTCAATCAAATTTGGCACAAAGCATATATGGGTAAAGGGGAACAAAATTCAGAATTTCATGTTCGTTGTCGTTGTTGTAGTCGTTGTTGTCATTGTCAAAGCCACTAAAATTAATGCAATTTTCAAAAATATTCTTCTAAACTTCTAGGCATTAAGCACTCAAATGTTGGCACAAAGTATCCTTGGGTAAAGGGTATACCAAAATTGTAAAATTCATGGCCCCAGGGCCACGCCCCCTTGCTAGGGTGGGACTAAATAGATTATATAGTGAAAAATGTATGGCATTTCTTTAAAAAATCTTTAAATAACTAACCAAGTACATAGTTACCGCTGGGCCAGGAAAATTGCAAACTCATATGGGTCAGGGGCATGTTTATATAGTGAAATTGCAATTTAAAATCTTGACCCTGCACTTGGGCACATGTATTGAATAAACTAACCAAACACAAAGTTATTACATAGAATATATAAAAAAATTTCATGGCCCCAAAATCTTCTTAGTGTGAGTATCTGGCTCTATTGATATATATATGAGAATACACTTATTCTTAAAACAATTTTCCTTTGCTTCTGAGTATTAAACTAATAAAGTTGTTATAATGAAGAAGGATGCCTCTTCATGGCCCCTGGGTCAGGGTTTCTGGTGAAGGGGGGGGGGGGGGGCTCTAATGATTATATACGGTACATAAATGTATGAATTCTTTGAAAATCCATTCCTTTGCTCCTGGGTATTATGCCAGTGATATTATTACATATTTTAGATGAATAATGATGCTTCTACCAAAATAATATATGTCAGAATCCTCAGGTCAGGGGTAATTGGGGAGGGGAGGTGGGGGTACATATTCTGAAAATAAATCAATGCTTTGAAATCTGCTCTTTGGTATTAATCAGCCATGTATGATGAGTAAAGAAATGTCTTTTTAAAAATTTTAAACCAGGCAAAAAAAAATTAATTTCTTGGTTTTCAGGCCCTCCCTCATCTCTTCCAAGGGTGCCTCATTGACCCTTTTTATTGCTAAATCAATAAAATATAAACACCAAATCAAAACTCATCATTTTTTGAGGTTTTGTACAATGTAAAAAGCTGCCTATATATGTTTTCAATAAGGTCAAAGAAAAAAAATGTCATATTTCTTGAAAAAAGGCCTGAGAACCAAGTAATTAACTTTGCACGGCCCCATGTTGCCACAGGGTCAGTGGTTCCTGTGGGGTGGGATGCACAACTGGTTATAAAGTGGAAATGCATTTTCTTTTTGTTACTTTGATATACCTCTGGGTATTAAGTAACCAAAGTAAGCATGCTAAGTGTAGAGTTATGATAAGCAATGATGCCTCTTTCAAAATTGTTAATTTCATGGCCTCTGGTTTAATACATGAACCAAATTCAATTGTTGGAAAGTTGTTGCATGATTCTCAGATGACCTATAGAGTCCATGGGCCTCTTGTTATTTTTCATTAATTATGTGTACATATTCTATAAAAGGCTATCAAGAGCCTTCATTTGAATTTGAAATGCTAACTACAATAAAAGATAATTTTTTCATTTTACAGGATTGATGTGGAAGCCTGGATGTTAAGCTATGCCAGCGGTTTCATTTCCTGTGGATATTATGTGGACATTGGTAGCATAGTTGCCAACTCACCCGATTTTGTCGGGTCACACCCGATTTTTTCAACCCGTAACCCGATTATTTTTATGACCCGGCGTGTCATGCTTATCACCCGATTTTTGCAAAACAACCCGAAAATCTCCTGATTTCCGGATTTGGTTCGTAAATTAGGTTGCACTTTTAATTTCCAGTTACAACCCAAGCTTAGATCTACGTAAACAATGCCGATGGATTGAAGTCAATTAAAATGGCTTCAGATTGTAATAGATCGTTATCAGGGCCAACAGGAACAAATTGAACCAAACACGTCTCTGATTGCTAAAAAAGAGAAACAATATTTATGTACATATCAAGGAATCTTGGAAAAAAAACTTTCATTCTAGATAAAATAAAGTGATCGAAGATAGTTTAGGCCTAACTTCACATTTAAAACACATTGCAGTAGTTAATTAAGAGAGAGAAAAAATTAAAAACTGAAATTGGTATACTTTCAAATTTAGCAGAAACTGAAAAGGTTTTTTTTTTTTTAAATGCACACTCAATACTGAAATATGAAACCTTCAATTCTCATTTTTAACATGTAAATTAAATCAAATTATGAATGAATTTTTTTGTCATAGTAAATGAAATCTTTTTCAATGAAAAAAAATTCCCAATACACAAATACTTTGTATATATATGATTGTATGAAATTTAATCATGGTAAATATGTTGTGAATGTGTTAGTGTGTGACCTATTTTTATATATGAGCCGAAGGCTCAACACTTTTCTTAATCACAATTGTCCGTCCTCCGTTGTCTCCGTCCGATTTTTAAAACTTTTAATTTTTAAAGTTGTTATAATGAAGAACCAATGGGCCAAATTTAACCAAACTTGGTACAAAGCATCCTTAGGTGAAGGGGAGTTAAAATTGTAAAAATGAAGGGCCAAGTCCCCTTACAAGGGGAGATAATCAAGAAAAGGCAAAAATAGGGTGGGGTCACTAAAAAATCTTCTTCTCAAGAACCACCGGGCCAGGAAAGCTGAAACTTGTGTGGGAGCATCCTTGGGTAGTGTAGATATAAAATTGTTAAAATCGTGACCCCTGGGGGTAGGGCGGGGCCACAATGGCCGAATCCAAGTTTTACATAGGAATATATAGAACAAATCTTTAAAATTCTTCTCAAGAACCACCGGGCCAGGAAAGCTGAAACTTATGTGGGAGCATCCTTGGGTAGTGTAGATATTTAATTGTAAAAATCATGACCCCTGGGGGTAGGGCGGGGCCACAATAGGGAATCCAAGTTTTACATAGAAATATATAGAACAAATCTTTAAAAATCTTCTTCTCAAGAACCACTGGGCCAGGAAAGCTGAATCTTATGTGGAAGCATCCTTAGATAGTGTAGATATAAAATTTTAAAAATCATGACCCCCGGGGGTAGGGCGTGTCCACAATAGGGAATCCAAGTTTTACATAGAAATATATAGAACAAATCTTTATAAATCTTCTTCTCAAGAACCACTGGGCCAGGAAAGCTGAAACTTATGTTGGAGCATCCTTGGGTAGTGTAGATATTAAATAAAAAAAAAATACTGACCCCCGTGGGAAGGGTGGGGCCACAATGGGGAATTCCAAGTCTTACATAGAGATATAAATAGAACAAATCTTTAAAAATCTTCTTCTCAAGAACCACTGGGCCAGAAAAGCTGAAGTTTATATGGAAGCATCCTTTGGTAGTGTAGATATTAAATTGTTGAAATCATGACCCCTGGGGTAGGCGGGGCCACAATAGAGAATTCCAAGTTTTTCATAGAAAAATATAGAACAAATCTTTAAAAATCTTCTTCTCAAGAACCACTGGGCCAGGAAAACTGAAACTTATGTGGAAGCATCCTTGAGAAGTGTAGTTTCTAAAGTTTTAAAATAAAAAAGGGAAGGGGGTTGTTGGGCATGATAGGTACATGTATAGCAAGAGGGGGAATCTGGTCAAGATCTGCATCACCCAAGTGACTCAGGTGAGCGATGTGGCCCATGGGCCTCTTGTTTACTTTCCAAATCTGGTCATGACCAGATTTTTACATGCTGGAGGTTGGCAAGTATGATTGGTAGCCATTGGGTGCTTGATGCAATGCAATAATGACATTTTGGATACTGTAGAATTCACTTGCATATTATGATAAGAGATTGCCTTGGAAGAACAATCTGAGTTTAGCTGTTTTTAATTTTTTAAAATCAATATATTTTTGTCAAAAGAACTTTATTCCGTAATAACCGCTATTTGCCCCCCAAACCACACTTTGATGGAGAAATATTTAATTATGTTCATAAACAGGGGAGTATATGCTGACTTCAAAGCACTGAATATTTTCATAAGTAATGACGTCATATGTACGAAATGACGTCACAAACATGATGTAAATTTCAGTTTTTTATTAATTTTACAGAAAAATGCACATATTTCGTCGATACTTTGAGTAAAAGTCACCGAGCGCATGTGTGTTCAGGCTCAATATTTTGATATAAATGAAATATGTAAATATTGTTCTTGAACAAACCTGCACTCTATAAATTTTTAAGCTAGAATTGTTGAAATTTTGTCCTCTTTCTGTAAAAGGATTATAAAATCGGACTAGTTTGTGACGTCATAAAAGCAAAAATTGTGAATTAACTTCTTTGAAACAGAAATACATGTATGTTCTGTTATTCTATATTTCTCATACAATTTATTGAATTCAGCACATTTCGAAAGTTTTCAAAATTTGACTTTTGTGGGGGCAAATATATGCAATATAAAGTACCGCATATAGTTCTTTGTATGCTGATGGGAGCCATTAAAATGCATAAAGATTTTTTTTATCTTGACCTTTTTAGCTCACCTGAGCCAAAGGCACAAGTGAGATTTTCTGATCACAATTTGTCTGTTGTCGTCGTTGTTGACGTCATCGTTGTTGTAAACTTTTCACATTTTCGACTTCTTCTCAAGAACCACTGGACCAATTCAACCAAACTTGCCACAAAGCATTCTTGAGTAAAGGGGATTCAAGTTTGTTCAAATGAAGGGCCACACCCTCATTCAAGGGGATATACTAGCAGTAGGGAATTAATGAAAATTTAGTAGTATCTTTTAAAAATCTTCTTCTTAAGAACCTATGTGCCAGGAAAGATGAAACTTCTGGGGAAACATCCTCAGGTAGTGTAGATTTGAGTTCAAATTATGACCCCCGGGGGTAGGGCGGGGCCACAATGGCTGACCAAAGTTTAACATAGAAATATATAGGAAAATTCTTTAAAAATCTTCTTCTCAAGTATAACAAAGCCATAATTGATCATATTTATATGGAAGCATCCTCAGGTAGTGAAGATTCAAGTTTGTTCAAATCATGACCCCCAGGGGTAATTTTACATAGACATATATATGAAAATTCTTTAAAAATCAACTTATCAAGAATAGCAAAGCCATGATTGGTCATGGCACTACTTTTGGATATATAAACTATTTAATTATAAACCAATTTCTACTTTTTCCCAGCCACAGTGTTCAGGTGAGCGATGTGGCCCATGGGCCTCTTGTTTGAACTCACTTTTCTCAAAATTTGTTTTGGTGTAGATTCAAAGAAACTCTTTCTGATTGTCTTTTTTTCCTATTTAAGATAAAGCAAGCATACATTATCAACTGTGTCCATTTTTTTACCTTGACCTTTCAAGTGTCCTTTGAAGTTACATGTAATTTATTGTTCATTTAACTCAGTTTATTCAATCTTTTCAAAAATTCTTTTGTCACCTTCATGTACCAGTCAAATACAAAATTTCTTATTGCATTAATAGTTAGTTTTCATATGCTGTGCCATTCCTTAGGAAGAGACCTTATGCATTAACTGAGGTCCCGTGTCGCAGTAGGTGCTGGCATGAAAAAGATCCCTCCTTGCTCAATGGCCCTGTGTGCCCAGTATAGTACAAAATTTGCAGCTCTCCACTGGCAACTGGTGGCATCTCCATATAAGTGAAAAGTTCTCAAAAGGAACATTAAACAAAATATACACCCATCATATGATTGTTAAAAGGGATATCAAAACTGTTTTTTTATATTGTTCTTTTATTGTATTGTCCACTGCTTTCGCAAAAGCGAAGGAACATTAAATCTCATTGGTTTGTCAGTCTATTACCTGTGACAAAACCTTTCTAAATACATTATGATTTGTGACCTTGAAGTTTGACCTACTTTTCACAAACTTTAACCTTGATCATGACTTTTAAATGAGGAGAGTCTGAAGAGATAGGGCTTTAATATTAAATCTGTGTAATGGCTGTGACAAGACCTTTCTAAATACAATATGATTTTTGATCTTGTGACCTTGACCTACTTCTCCTTATCGTTTGATCGACAGGAGATAGGGATTTCATATTTGACATGGGCACTACTTGTGACAATGTATTTTTGAACATGCTATGATTTCTGACAACATGACCTTCAAGATTGACCTTATTTTCAAATTATCAACCTTGATGATTACTTTTGAATGAAATATGACAGGGCATTCATATTTGACTTTTATAACTTCATATCAGTGATTAGTATTCCAATTTCTCGTAGATCTGTTTTCGAGTAGTGATTCGTGATTTCTAGGGGGTGGGGGTCAAAGTTCACTTTTACTTGGTTTAGTATATATTTCCAGAGACCCCTTTAGATCTGTGCATGTTGTGCCAAATTTGACAATATAGTGTTCCTTGAGATATGGCCCTTATTTCAGAAGTTTATGCACACTGCACAAATGGCCACAGACTTAGCTCAAAAGAGCTAAACAAAAATAATGAGAGAAAAATACTGGTAAAATATTTTTTAATTTACATTATTTATGCCAAGAAAACAAAATGATTTGATATACATTTCACATTTACATTTAAAAAAAACCCTGAAAAGGCACATGTCATGGGCCACAAAGCTCACATGAGTTTCTTCAGAAAAAATATATATATACTGGGGTATTATTGGTATCTTTTTTTCATTCTTGTACGAAAATTTGATATTACTTCATTACCAAATGTGTCCTCATAGATACAGCAAAACTCAGTTATAACGAAGTCACTGGGAATTATGAAACTACTTCGCTATATCCTTAATTCGTTATAACTGTATATGACACTCAGGAAATGTATACAGCTGGGGATCCAAGATGACTTCGCTATATCAGTGAATTTGCAATATCCGTGTTCATACTAAACGAGTTTTACTGTATTTGCTCTACCCTTGGGATGCTTGAAGAATTAATCCTCTGAAAACTGACTTATTTTTTTTTAGCCTCATCATCCTCTGGGCGCATATTTCGATGAAAATCTGTTTTTTTTTTTCAAAAAGACTTTAAATACTGGCCCCTTTGATCTTAAAAAAAATTCTCCGCCTTCCCATGTAAAAGTTTTATCCCCTTCTATGGACATGCTACACCTGGTTTCCATGATATGAAGAATTCAGAATTTATTCATACATATATGTTATACCGTATAAGCAAAATCTGTATCGGGTATTTAGTTGTGGAATTATCGTCAGGGATGCTGAGATCACTAAAGCTCAACATCGCTAAAATTAACAGCGTTTTATATCAAACAGTGGTTCTAAATAGTGAAACAGACTAACAATGGATATCAATCAGAACAAGAGGCCCAAGGCCACATCACTCATCTGTGTACTTTGGCCATGCTGTTCTTTACCAGATTTCCACACCAGAGTATACCCATAGTGGCCCTGCACTTTTCCCAAAATTCATTATTTCACAAGAGTACTTTCAAACAAGTTTCAGCTTTTCTGGCTTAGTGGTTCTTGAAAAGGTTTTTTTTTATGATCCCACCCAATTTTTGTTTGTTTGTTTGTTTTTTTTTTTTTTTGACAATTTCTCCCTATAACTTATAAGGGTACTTGGCCCTTCAGTTTAACAAATCTTTAACTTCATTTTACACAAGGATGTTTTGTATACGTTTGGTTAAAATTAGCCCACTGGTTCTGTTGAGATGAAGTTGAAAATGTGAAAAGTTTACATACAGAGGAATGGAGAGATGAACGAACAACAGTTGATCAGAAAAGCTCACTTCATGCCTGGAGACCAGTACAGACAAGCCAAAATTTCAATTTTGAATAACTTTTTATTTATGACATATTCATTTTAAAAACTGTGCATGTTTGTATACATATGGTAAAAATTCTGCTTTGTTATCAATTTTTTTCAAAATCCAGAAGTCTCTGATGAGACTGTAGCTCTACTGGTCTGTATGTGTATAAAAGGAAAAGTGGCACTTGGATTTGACTTTTCAACAGGCAAAAATAAATAGAATTATGTATCTTTGTGTAGTGTAATAGTGCATATTGTGTGCCAAATTATATTGAAATCAAACCAAAATTGAAGGATTTCGTTTTAAGGAATTTCACACAAATTTTGATTTTTAGTAACCATGGCAACACTGTTCATCGAAATCAAAAATTGATGCACTAAATTATGTACCTTAGTGTAGTCTACTTAAGTGCTAAGTTATACTGAAATCAGACCAAAATTGTAGGAAGAGTAGCATTTTGAAGAAAATTTCACAGAATTTTTTATTTTAGTAACCATGGCAACACTGTTCATCGAAATAAAAAAAACTGATGCACTAAACTATGTATCTTTATATAGTCTACCTGTGTGCCAAGTTATATTGAAATCATATTAAAACTGTAGGAGGAGTAGCATTTTGAAAAATTGTTTACAGACAGACAGACAGACAGCTAGGCAGACAGACAGCTCGACAGATGGACGACGAATGCCTTAATATCGCATAATCTCTTATGGTCTCTGACAAGTATAGCTAATTATATCCCTTTTGAATTTTAAGTTTGCTCTCAGTTTATGGTCTTAGGACTTTTCAACTCAGGTGAGCTAAAAATTCTCTAGAGCTTAACAGCTCATCTGAGCTGAATTTTTGGGAAAAATCAATAAAGGTTTCTTTTTTTTATATCAATTGTCAATATCTCTGTAGGCCAAACACACTCTCAAAGGATAGTCTAAGCTTCTGCAACTGGTAAAGGCTTCATTTACTGCAAAAATCAGAGGGAAAAAATTAATCCATTTCAGTTCTTATTTTAAAGTTTGCAGAAAAATTAATCAAAAATATTTAAAATCTTTCTTTTCTGAAAATATTAGATTTTTTAAAAGGTTTTTCCATGCTGTTATATTTCAAACTTATAAGAACAATCTTTACAAACCTCTAAACTTGAAATTCAAAAACTATTCCTGTTGAGTCCTTTTCTGTATGACCCACTAAGACTGTCCTCTTCTGGATTCAGCTGTATGTATATTGGTATAACTGAAGGTTGATGAAATATTCAGCATTTCATGGAGTAGGCCTTGATAATACTAAAGTAAAAACAGCAAAGATGCAATATGTATCAAAAGGAATGTGTAAATTATCATACTGTGCAACATTATATGTTAAACAGATGCCCATGGACCACAATGTTCACCTGTGTAACTATGGCCTTTCTGATCTTCATCAGCAGATTATTGTAAAATATATTTCTTTCTCATAACATAATATGTTATGACCCCATCCTACATTTAGACTTAATGATTTGAACAAACTTGAATCAAAACATGGTCGAACAAATAATTAGTTTGGGTCGGCTAAATTCTAAGTGGTACGTCTTATAGGCAAATGAAAACAGACATTTTTTTTTTTGTTAAATTAAGGCCTTAAGGGAATAAGTTTGTTCAGAAAAGATTATGTGAGGGTAGCAAATACAAAAGGATAAAATATAAAATGCAAGATTTCAATTTATTGTCAATTTATTACTGACCTTTGAACTTGAAAGTGGTGCATTGATTAAATATCTTGCAAATCCAATACACAATGTGGTATTTTTCCAGTTGACATCAGTTCTGGCCTTTGATCTTTAACCTTGACATTGAGAACAAAATATATAGATCTGTATTTCCACTATAAATGATTGTTTTGAATGTGGATAGTCAAATTGAAGATATGAAATACTTATTAATGAATAGTCAATTGCATCTTCTCGACCCTTTGTCAAGCTCGGAAAAACACCTTGAATGTATTAGCATCACCGAGTGTGTGTAGGGGCCACATCACCTGAGCACAAAATTCCACACAAGGCGTTCATCATTTGAACAAAAAATCTACACTACCTGAGGATGATTCCATATAAATATCACAAATCATAGCTTTGAAGTACTTGAAAAGAAGATTTTAAAAGGTTTCCCTATATATCCCTATGTAAAACTTGGGTCGGCCATTTTGCCCCCACCCTTGCCCCAGGGGTCATGATTTGAACAAACTTGAATCTACACTACCTGAGGATGATTCCACATGAGTTTCCTCTCTTCTGGCCCAGTGGTTCTTGAGAAGAAGATTTTTAAAGATTTTTTCCTATATATTCCTATGTAAAACTTGGGTCGGCCATTTTGGCCCCACCCTGGCCCCTGGGGTCATGATTTGAACAAACTTGAATCTACACTACCTTAAGATGCTTCCATATGAGTTTCATCTTTCCTGGCCCAGCGGTTCTGGAGAAGAAGATTTTTTAAAAATGCCATAAATTTTTCACAAATTCATAATTATCTCCCCTTGGAAGGGGGCGTGGCCCTTCATTTGAACAAATTTGATTCCCCTTTACCCAAGGATACTTTGTGCCAAGATTGGTTGAAATTGGCCCAGTGGTTCTTGAGAAGAAGATGAAAATGTGAAAAGTTTACGCCGACGACGACAATGACAACAACGACTACAACAACGACAACGACAGACAACGGACAAATTTTGATCAGAAAAGCTCACTTGAGCCTTCGGCTCAGGTGAGCTAAAAATTTCAAAATGAAAAAAATCACTGAAGCTAATAAAAGGGAGTATATAAATTTAAAATACAAATCCAATACCCATTGTGGTGTCTTTCCAGCTGACATCAGTTCTGGCCTTTGATCTTTGACCTTGACCTTGGAGAAAGGTTGTCTATGCCAAATAAACTTATTCCAGGTAGACCATGGATTTCCGCTTGTCGAAAGATGCGACTGAAATGAAGTGTACCACTTTCTCCTGCACATTCTTAATTACTGCAAAATGGGTCCCATAGCCAAAGACTCCAGTCAGCATGTGTCAATCTGAGATACTATAAATAGTTACATTTATAAATTTTTAATATGGATGAATTAGTCATGTAAATTATCTGCATATAATAAAAAAGAATTAATTACAAGACATGAAAGAATACCTACCTGTAGATCTATAACCAACTTTCAAATATTGAATGCGCCATGGATCTGGAGTTTTGTTGATTGTTCAGTACAACATAGTCACTGCAACCTAGTACTAAGAGAAGAAAAGTAAATAAAAGATCAATATTGAAATATTGTAAAAATATAATGCACAGTCTATCGGCATATCGATAATTAGCAGGACAAAGCCCACCCCTCCGTTTTTACACCCCAAAAGTCCTATAATTTGCACTTGAATATACGTAAATTCTTATGAAAGTATAATGTAAACTACTTGATTCTTAACGGATGATACGAAACATTATTTGTTTATGTTCATAATTTCACAGAATTACTAATTTGCCGATACACAAATTCGAATTTCCTCGATGAAAACTGCAGAATGTTTTCGATTATTTGAAATGCTGTTCATATCACTTATCTAAAAGAAACATTGCATTAATTAGAACAACAGACTAAGATATTCAGATAGATTGACGAGGAAAAATTCACCTGTACTTACGTTATTTGTCACTGTCAGCTGATGAGCAAATCCAATAGGGCAATACACATTTTTAGCGGGATTTCGTTGTTAGGGAAGCGCTTGCATTTGCAATCTTGACAGCGCTTGGAAGTCATACATCCTGGCGCAATGCAATCATGACCATAAATCTTGCCTGCGTTTGAAAAACACATCATGACCAAGCCAAGATTGACGCTTGACATTGCATCCTGACTTGGCCAGGATTGACGCTTGAAGAAATCTTGACTGCGTTTGGAAGTAATTTATCTTGGCGCAATGCAATCATGACCGACCAAGATAGATGGTCATGTTGTCAATCCTGGCTCGGTCAACGACTCAACATTGAATCATGACCCGGCCAAGATTGGATGGTCATGTTTTCAATCTTGACTCGGCCATGTTATCAATCTTGACTGAGCCATGTTATCAATCCTAACCTGGCCAAGATAGGATGGCCATGTTATCAATCTTGACTTGGTCATGTAATCAATCCTGACTTGGTCAAGATTGAATCATCACCTTGCCAAGATAGGATGGCAACGTTGTCAATCCTGACTTGGTCAGGATATGATGGTCATGTTATTAATCTTGACTTGGGCAAGGGTGGCCAAGACTTGGTCAGGATATGATGGTCATGACTTGGTCAGGATAAAATGGTCATGTTATCAATGTTGACTTGGTCATGTTATCAATCCCCTATGGCTTTCCATAATCCTGACCTGGTCAAGATGGTAAAAATCCTGACTTGGTCATGTTTAAATCTTGACTTGGTCAGGCTTGATAACATGACCAGATCAAGATCGTTTTTCAATGAAATATATAGAACATGACATGGGGGGTCCCCTATGGCTTTCCATATATTATATATAAAAACATTTCGTAGTATATATTTGATTTTGGGTTTCTTTTCATTTTACGCTCAATGAAGTATCAGTAATCCCATTGTTTTATACATACGATGAAAGAATTATTTTTCTCCAGTAGAAGACTAGTTTTGTGGACATCATATGAAAAAATAATTTAACTTTTAGATTTACCTTTTGAACACTTTACCTTTGAACACCAGGGCAATTTACTTACCCAAGTGTAAAAAACAGATTTAGTCTGCATGAGAGTATTATACTTTAACTTAATTTTATTCTGATTTGCAAAAAGAGGGAAATGAGTATAATAAGAGACGTATTTGCCAATTCTCTTTAAAATTATCTTTTGCCAATATTCTTTAAAATTATCCATGCCTTACCTAGTGTAAGATGCCACAATGAATGTAACAGGTTTAACTTGCTAATCCTATTACACATATGTACAATGTATGAGGGTTTATCCAAAAGTAATATCATTGTGTCCATGTCTTTGGCGTCATATTATCAAATATAATATACCAAAATAAGCACAAATATAAATCTAATAAAACTTGAATATTTCATTTAGTGATGTTAAACCGAATTTATTTTATAGATGTTTAAAACATAGAGCATAGGGGGTGTCGCCGCGTCACAACCGAACGTCACAAATTAAAGTGTACTTTTTTGGAATAAAAAAGACAAAAACATTTAATGTATGACATCATTGCTATTTTTTAATCAAAAAAAATATCCCCGATGCATTGAAAAAAAGAAATGTCGAAATGGAAAAAAAAAACGCCACAACAAACTGTAAATTATGCATTTTTGCTTCAAAATGGAGAAATCGCCAGTAGAGACAGTTACATTAATTCATCAGACTCACAGGGGAAAGAATGTAAAAAACAGACTTGTTTAGATGGTTTCAGCGATTTTGAGTTGGTGATGGGTCATTGAATGCTCAGTAGATGACAAAAGGACCGAAAGATAGGAGGGCAGACGGAAACGTTCAATGGTGTGTGACGTTGTCAAAAATGACAGACGGTTAGAGCGATAAGTGAAATTTTAGGTTGGTCTTATACTATTGTTCAAAGAATTAATCATGAAAAGAGTGAGTGCACGATGGGTACCAAGTTTTCTTTAGAAAAGTGAAATTTGTTAACGCGTTCGTGAATTTTAATGAAACGAAGGGAAGCGTTTAAATGTATGACGGCGCGTATCCGTCATATGACGTTATTTAGGTGCGTCGATTACCAAAATCACACGTTGTATATAATCCGAAATTTTGAAAAGTATAAATCATATTGAATTGAAATTTTCAGGTCTAATTTCAAATAAATGTAGCTTTCATCATTAATAATTGTTTTGCTTTACGATCAACCCTCGTATGTGGTTGAATTGGAAGTTGCAAAGCGGTGCTGTTTACTGATTATTTATGAAGCAAAGACTTTCTCGAAATAAAACAATATAATGTACCCATCATAACTATGATTTCATGCATGTTAGTAAATTAAGATTTCATGCACGACCTTGCTGAGCAATGTCACACCCGGTGGTGAAGTGAAATTTTTGTCTTTCGCTAATATACCATTTTTCAATTGTAAATGAGATGTACACATAGGTAACATTGAAAATGATTTATAAGTAAGGTGCACTTTTGTGGCATGAAATTTGTTTGAAATGTTATGTTTTACGGCTTTTTTTTTACCATTTATTTAATATTTATCGTGCCAGCAACCCACATCGAACTTCAAAATCGTGGGGAAAATATGGAAAACAAAAGATTTTGGACTTACCTGATCTAGAATTTTTCCGGATAATGGTTTGCTTCAGTATGTCTTCTGTATTTCTCCATTCTCATGAAGATCGAAGGCTTTGAATTTATTTATTTTTTTTTTAAATTCCATTTATTTAGTAAGAGGAAAAAGTACACTTGTGTACCGATTAATTTTTCCGCATTGAATTATGCAAAAAGCAACGAGTTCTGACTTTATAGAGGTAGAATATCGTAGTTATACTAAATACAAATGTTATACTGAATGAGATATTAATTCATCCAAAGTCTAACATCAGATATGATACTTGTGTGTACTAAAACATTTCGGCTCAGTATTTTTGAAGTTATTGGTGACATACAACGTTAATTGTGTGTTTTTCAAGATGAAGTAATGTTTATTTTTTTTCAATTTCCTCGTTAGCTTGATCCTGAGGATATAATTTGAAAACAACTCAAAACTACTTTAAATAAACTTTTAAAATGAAACCATGTTCCAAGATTTCCAAAAATTATGAATATATATTCGTCAACATATTTTAATATACTAGTAATTAAAACCATGTCTGGATAGATACTACTTATAGTTTACGTTAGGAAACAAAAAATATTTTGGAGGTCGATACATTACAGTGTTATCATGTCAATGTAAAAGCAAAACTTCTCTTTCGTCTACAGTTGAGAAGCTTGTTATTTTGTCTTCCTTTAACGTAATACCTGCTCATTATTTAATGTTTCACCAGTTCTGTAACGTACTCTGCAGTGTACACACTCTTTGCTGTATTAACAAACAGCAAATCGAAATTAAAATATAACAAAGCTTAGTCTTTTAACAGATTTATTTAACCGTTGAGAGTGGAGATCAGTCTGAAAAATAAAATTATTTAATATGAATATGATAAACAGGAGCATTTTATCTTTCCAAAAAAAAAAATCCGAGTAAAGGAATTTTTCGGAACATTCTGAGGTTTACTTACGTGCTGCATGCGGTGGGACAGACAAGTTCTCCCAGGCCGCTGACGACGGACTTACAGAGAGTATTACAGGTGCTAACCTCCATGTCTGGTGTGATCAGGTGCTTGATCTGGTCCATAACAGCATGAACTGACAACAATAAAGCATATCTAATATGATAGTTATCGATATATTAATTATTTTATGTTAAGTTTCTCAGTATCACAAAATGTCTGTTCTGTTAAGTCGTTCAATCGCAAACGATCATGATTGTTAAGATACACTTTTCAAACCTTTGAATATTTTTCGCACGCACCCCTTTCTCTCTCTCTCTCTTAAGAAAGGATTAAAAAAAAGTCGTGTTAGCAATAACTTGCTCTGAACTGTACTTATAGATGAATTTTGAAACTCATGCAGTTGCTTTAAGGAAAAATGTTATTCCTCTGTGCTGCTTATTTAATATTTATCAATGCAAAATCTTACATTACCTACTCACGAAAAGTACGATTCATTAAAGAAAATGAAATAACTGAAAAAGAAGATCCACAAGGATTTCATTCATTGAAAGCTTGAATAATGAATTGTCTCCCTTTTTTGTTTATTTAAGAACATGTCCAAATTCAGAAAGCCGGGGAAACGTTTTTGAGAAATAAAAAAAAAATCAAATCAAATAAATTAGGCTTGTTTGTTAAATCAAATTACTGATGATGTTTCATTGGGTATGCATAATATTCAAAAACATCATATAATCAATGAACTTTTCAGTCATATAAAGAAATAAGGTATTTTAAAAAATTCTTACGGTCAACAAGCCAGCGTTTGTCCACCTCAGAAGGGGCACAAAAAGCCAGAGGAAGGAGGGCGATCAAGAAAAGTACAGCCTTCATTGTCAGCTGAAAAAAAGACTTATACTGTATATTAAAATTGATTTTTAAAATAGCCACATTCTGGATTCAAATACCTATACTAGTATAAATGTAACTCATTACTATAGCAATCGATGTCACAGTAAAAAAGAGTTCAAACAAATGGTTATGTTTTGACTTAATAGCTAATGAACTGCATAGAGGTTATGAAGACTTGCATGGTTTTGAAAACTGCCCAGTGCAAGAATGCTACACTTCTACAGACCATTTTCACACCCTACCTAATTGTTTCCACTCTCTCAGGTATAGATCTCAGATCCGTGATTCTCCTTATATATGTTGGCATTACGATACATGTTGTATTATAAGATAAAAGTCCAGTATCTAAAGTCACGAAGTGTATTGGTCAATTGAAACTAAAGGGCCAAAATGTCACGGAACTGTCCTAGAAGTTATTTTCATTATGTTATTATGATTGTTATAAAGAAACATATTCGTTTATTGCATTTAGATGGCTATTAACGTATTCTAAAATGCAAACTCCCAAATGACCGTGCAATATATTGGATTCTCTGATTTTTTCACAAAATATGAAAAAAACATGTCAGAACTTATAATTTTTCTTACAGGGATCATTCATTGTTATCAATATAGTAATATTATTCTTTTTTATTTTTCTCCTGTACTTTTTAAGAAATGAGTTAAAATAGAATCCATGGGTGTTGTTCTACCTTAGATCAACTGAGAGGCATAACCCCCCTACCGGGTATGCAGTTGATAAGGGTAACAAATTCACGACGAGCTGGAAAGGTTATGGATATAATAATATTATTTAAATAATGAAAATGAAAAAATTAAATAATCAACTAATTTATTACTAATTACACAAGATTCTCATGTTTATACATGTAACAAATTCACGACGAGGTGGAAAAGTTATGGATATAATAATATTATTTAAATAATGAAAATGAAAAAATTAAATAATCAACTAATTTATTACTAATTACACAAGATTCTCATGTTTATACATGTAACAGAAAAGGGTTTATATATATATGTAATTCGTAAATTTAAAAAAAAAATCAAGAAAAAATTGAAAACATAAATCAAGAAACCTAGTAAATATTCCCAAAAAGATATATATAAAATCAAATCATTAATTAGATGTGCTGGTGGTGCAAATTAATCATTTTGCAATTTATGATATTGATATAGTGGTAAAAAATCGTCATCATGATTTTATTTAAACAACTGGAGGTTTAAAACATAAGGCATACGAAATACATGTACCAGTATATGATTATTGGTTACATTTGATACATGTATTTAGAGTATGTTATACAAAACGACCCAGAACTCATAAAATCAGTGAATCAGATTAAAAATAACCCATTTTATTTTTTCTAAATTATTTATATGCCCATCAATTGAAGTTTACAAAGGAACTCCATTGCTAAGAAGCCAGTCCAGGTAGTAAGCGATTCTGACGTATACTGACGGGTACGATCCGGAACAACCAGTGATTACCCAGGATGCAATGCCAACTACGACATATTCATCACTAGAGGACGCTCTGCAGGCCATGGGTCCACCAGAGTCTCCCTTGATTGGAAAAAAGAAGAAAGAAAACGGCGATGAATTCTCAGTTTTATGTATATTTTAATGCTATACTTTCTGCGAAAGATTAGCGTTAATGAAGTCAATGTATTTTTTTTATTTTGGAACTTGCATCATATCCCTACTGAGGTCAGTAGAGATACGTACCTGGCATGCATTTGTGTTGGCGTATGCGTCAAAGTTACAGGTGTGTTGATCGTATATAGAAGCTCCATTGATTCCAGACATTCTGGTGGCACATTCCGAGTTGGAGATGGCGGGAATCATAGCTTCCTGTAGAGTTGTGGGAAGAGAATCTAGCAGAAAAGAAACCAATTCAAGTAATACGGTTTACGTTTAAAAAAAGTTTGGAAGTGTTTTACTAAATATCAGTTATCTATAGTTTTCGATAGAATTCATAATTGTAAAGATGCTTCACAGAAATACTAGTATTGGTCAGGTTTATCTCTAACATGGCGGCCAAGGGAAAACACAGATGAAAAATGTATCATACAAAAACATATGTGTGACATTGCGTACTTTGGTTTCCTCTGATCTTGCCCCAGCCAGTGATGTAACACTCGTGTGAGTTGTGATTGTAGTATCTGTCTGATGGCAGTCTGGCTGCCTGCACCGTGTCGGAGAACACCAGGTTACCCTGTACCCGGAGAATAGCGATATCATTTGGGAAGCCTGCCGAACTGCCGCTGTAGCCAGAGTGCTATAAACAGCAATTAGTTAAAAAGTTAAAATTAGTTAGAAAACGGGGCAAAAAAGTCAAGAAAAACTATTTTTCCCCATTTGAATTCATAGAGGGTTTTGGAGAATTACCTCAGTAATTGAGCTGAGTTTGTATACGGTACCACCTCCTCTGTTGGATGATCCTACCTCAATATCAAAGAGAGAGTAGCTGGAAAACAGACATAAAGCAAATTGAGCAACACGTCCAAGCTCTGATTCATGCATTTAAGATTTTTAAGATCAAAATTTGAATATTCACATTCTTCCGTTGACACAGTGAGCAGCAGTGAGGAGGTAATTCGGGCTGATGATGATGGCGCCGCATGTGTGTCCTCCATTGTAACGAAGCGACACTTGCCAGGGCCATTCAGCAATGTTAGCATTACTGCCACCGACAACACGAGTCTGTTATTCAGGAAATTTAAAAAAAAAAAAATACACAGTTTCTGCAAGTTTTGTATATTGTGACTAAAATTTAACTATACGTTCAATGAAATTCAAGTTGTTAAATTCGTGCATGTAGGATGAAATGCTTTTGGAAATTCTTATCATTAAAAGGCGGAATAAATGCTACATACGTTGAAATCGTAGGCAGGGGGCTCTCTTCCCGGCTGAACCGCCTTAAGTTCCTCCCCTAATGTGATCCCTTTTTTACAAAAATGATTCAGGGATTAAGTGATGAAAAAATGTAGATAAGGAAAAGGAGTCGATGTTATAAAAACTGAAAATAACACATATCTGTAAACATAGCAAAAACAGGACTCCTGGAAAATCTAGAGGTGGGATCAGGTGCGTAGGCGAAGAAAACATCCCCTATGGACATACTGATCTCATTTCGTTATTTTCCATGTCAGAAGAAAATACCGGTATAATCAACATTGAAATTTTGTTTTTCTTTGATTTAAGGACATATGCAATGTAGTTTGATTTTATTGTATTTTCCCTGGAGATGAAGAGTTCCAATACTTGAAGGAACTGTGTGCTACATGTTGAAGTGTATGTATGCTATTGTACACTTCTTCTGAAACTAGTTTGCATAAATAAAACTCCGAGAATATATGCTAAGTATATAATTTTTGTATATTTTTCTTTGAATTTTACAATAATTTTCATCAACTGATATCTTTTCAAAACCCCTGGTATTTTAGCGGCGTACTGATTTTTTTGTCTGCGAACATCTAATGGCACTATAATCTTAAATTAAGAATATCTTGAATAATTATCAGTAGGTAAGGTACGTTGCACATGTCCTTAAATTAAATATGTAATCCTTTCTTTATTAAACGGTCGGAACAATACCTTCAGAGAGACTAATTCACGAGATATCAATTTTAGCTAAAAAGTTATGATCCACTTTCAATAATTTATGGAAAACTGTAATTTTGTCATATGTGAGCTATCCATTTTCCGGAATTCGAACACTCCGGAACATTACGTTGGATGAGTCCAGATATTTTTTTTGGTAGTTATGAAGTATGCAAAGTTAATTTAAAACAGTAATGAAATTCTTACCAAACAGCAAACACAGCAAAATCAACCCAATCATATCCGAATTATGGCTACAATCTACCTCATGTAGAGAGCGATGTACGATCTTTCATTTATATACCAGTCTCTTGGTACAGATGACAATTCACATTGTTAACCTTCAAGTCGTCATGAAAACAGCGTAATAAACCCCCCATTTTCATCCGAAATAATTTATAATATTTGATTTGTGTAATACTTTAAAATGCCAATAAATTCAAACTCTCATGCGTACATGTATGTACCGATTTATGTTGGGGTAAACTTTCCAGTTTTGAGTCTGGTGTAGTTAAAATTAATTCAAAGAGGGATTAATTTTCTTTTCGGGTGTCTGACAATTGTAGGTGTGTTATTATAAATTATTAAATTATGGTAAAAACATAGGTAATCAAAGATTACGAAGCTCACCTCGACGAATGTTATCAGTTTAAGTAATGCAAATCTCACATCATATTTTCTTAATATTTAGTATTCATCCCAACAACAATATTCTTGCAAGTTGTGTTTAACCCCTTACATGGCATATACACATTTCTAAGCCTGTAGCGTGAAAAATATGTATATGTATAGTGTAAACAAATATTCATAACTGTTAATAATGCAGATATCAAGGTCTTCAAGTTCATTCGGATTGATCTGTTCCCAAAACTTTAACCAAGTCTCTTGTATGGAAAATATAGGTCAGATCCAGCATCCGAAACAAGTCTGATAGTGTCCATCCTTAGATGCATCATCCATGCAAGTTTGGTTTAGCTAGGGCTTATAGTTACTTGGGAATGAAAATGTAGGTCAGATCCAGCATCCGAAGCAAGTCTGGTAGTGTCCATCCCTAGATACATCATCCATGCAAGTTTAGTTTAGCTAGGGCTTATAGATACTTGGGAATGAAAAAATAGGTCATATCCAGCATCCGAAGCTAGTCTGGTAATGTCCATCCCTAGATGCATCATCCATGCAAGTTTGGTCCAAATAGGGCTTATAGTTACTTGGGAAAGAAAATGTAGGTCAGATCCAGCATCCGAAGCAAGTCTGGTAGTGTACATCCCTAGATGCATCATCCATGCAAGTTTGGTCCAAATAGGGCTTATAGTTCCTGTGGAATGGACCTGCTCCAAAAACTTTAACCTGGTCACTCATTTGGAAAATGTAGGTCAGATCCAGCATCCGAAGCAAGTTTGGTAGTGTACATCCCTAGATGCATCATCCATGCAAGTTTGGTCCGAGTAGGGCTTATAGTTCCTTGGGAATGAAAATATAGGTCAGATCCAGCATCCAAGGCAAGTCTGGTAGTGTCCATCCCTAGATACATCATCCATGCAAGTTTGGTCCAAATAGGGCTTATAGTTCCTGTGGAATGGACCTGCTCCAAAAACTTTAACCTGGTCACTCATCTGGAAAATGTAGGTCAGATCCAGCATCCGAAGCAAGTTTGGTAGTGTACATCCCTAGATGCATCATCCATGCAAGTTTGGTCCGAGTAGGGCTTATAGTTCCTTGGGAATGAAAATATAGGTCAGATCCAGCATCCGAAGCTAGTCTGGTAATGTCCATCCCTAGATGCATCATCCATGCAAGTTTGGTCCAAATAGGGCTTATAGTTCCTGTGGAATGGACCTGCTCCAAAAACTTTAACCTGGTCACTCATTTGGAAAATGTAGGTCAGATCCAGCATCCGAACTAAGTTTGGTAGTGTACATCCCTAGATGCATCATCCATGCAAGTTTGGTCCGAGTAGGGTTTATAGTTCCTTGGGAATGGACCTGCTCAAAAACTTTCACCTGGTCACTCATCTGGAAAATGTAGGTCAGATCCAGCATCCGAAGCAAGTCTGGTAGTGTACATCCCTAGATGCATCATCCATGCAAGTTTGGTCTGGGTAGGGCTTATAGTTCCTTGGGAATGGACCTGCTCCATAAACTTTAACCTGCTCCAAAAACTTTAACCTGGTCACTGATCTGGAAAATGTAGGTCAGATCCAGCATCCGAAGCAAGTCTGGTAGTGTACATCCCTAGATGCATCATCCATGCAAATTTGGTCCCGGTAGGGCTGATAGTTCCTTGGAAATGGACCTGCTCCAAAAACTTTAACCTGCTCCAAAAACTTTAACCAGGTCACTCATCTAGAAAATGTAGATCAGATCCAGCATCCGAAGCAAGTCTGGTAGTGTACATCCCTAGATGCATCATCCATGCAAGTTTGGTTCAGGTAGAGCTTATAGTTACTTGGGAATGGACTTGCTCCTAAAACTTTAACCTGGGACGCCGACGCCAACGCCGGGGGTATAGCATAAGCTCATCTCGACTTCGTCGAGGTGAGCTAAAAAAGAAAATAAAAGCAATATCGGTGTAAAAAAAAAAAAAAAAAAGATTCTCGGTCCATATGAGAAAATTTCCTATCTCGCAGATTAATGAATTTAGTTTAAAACATTTTTAAACAATGATATCTTTTTAATAAAATCTTAAGTAAATTATGAGTTAAATCTAGAAAAGTCAGATAGTCTCGCTTTCCCACGACTCTCGCTCTCGAGACTGCACGAGCGCAAGTCTGATTAACCCTTTGATTTTTACTGTATTTTTTTGTATTTATACTTTCAAATACTCTCGCTTTCTTGTGAATCTCACTCTCGAAACTTAGAATTTGCACGAGCGAGAGTAAAGTCTCGAAATCGAGAGTTTGGAGAAAGCGATACTAGGGGTCAGTAGTTCTCTCTAGACTTTTTGTGTAATGTTCATTTCATTATAGAACATAGAAAATGATTGTGAAAAAGTTTTTCAATTCAAGGACAAAATACTCAGTAAATGGGTCCTGTATGATAATGTGTACAACAAATTATGAAAAATCTAAATTTTATTTTCTTTATAACTACTCATTTTGGCACATCTGTTTTGTTTTTGGATAAATCGTATATGATTTATGACATAAATGTCATGTTTACATTTATGTACAGTTATTATTTAAATTTAGAAAGTGCACTGTGTGAGTGTGTGTAATTGTGGTGGTGAGTGGGTGAAAATTGTTTGATATGTGTTTTTGTATATAGATGTGGAAAAAAGCTTCAAAATAAAGCATTTTCAAAAAAGAGAGAGACTTGGGGTCAGTATTCTCTATACTTTTTGTGTAATTTCGTTATATTACATTTTACATACATGTACGAGGGGTTATCAAAAAGTTCGTGGACTAGCGTCATAAAATTAAAACCGCTCTAGGTACATCAATAAATCTTAATATATCTAGTTAGCATCATCTTTTCTATCAAAAGAATAAATTATAAACCATAAACTTTATTTTTTAATAAATTAGTAACGTTTTTGTAAACAATAGTATGCCCAGGCGGCGCAACCTCGAACACGACGTTTTTGCGACCTATGTGTAACTGAGAAAAACTCTTGAAATGATCATTTGACATCCAAATATTCTGTTAATTTAGGTATGTGTTGGGGCACAATTGTTACACAAAATATGAAATTTTCACTTCATTCTGGAAGTTCTATGAATTTTTATCGTAAATTTTACACGGAATGTCCAAACAAATGAGGCCTTAAAATTGACGTCAAAAGGGGGGAAGGGTTTCCGTTTCTAACATTCTATAAAGTTTTGCCCCTGAAAAAACTGGTATAGACCTAAAATATGTTGAAACTGGCTAGAGAGAAATAATATGCATCCCGAGTACTTGTATTTTAATGTCAAAATAGATTCAGAGAGAAAAAGGATACACAGTTAATGTCGACTTGCAGTCAAGGTGTGAAAAATCAATCACGTCAAAAATGACGTTGATCATGTGTTGTAGATGTTGAACTCCTAAAAGCAAAATATGCTGGCAAAATCAAGCGAGGATCTCTCCCAATGTATTTATTTATTTGGAATATTATATTCATTGAAGGCCACTGTTCATGACATGCTAAAGTTATATAAACATGACTGGTTTTAGTCCTTACTCAGCTCCAGGGAATCTCATCAAAAAAGCATATGAGGTAGAAGAAGCGGACATTGAAAAAATAATGACGTTGTCGGACGTCATGAGAATAAACGACGACAGCGCCGGGTGACCATATAATGTCGTTTTCATTTTACAATAATTTGGCAAATAATGAACGTATCATGCTAAAATTTTCAAAATTTGTTTATTTTTTGTTGTTTTATATTCCATATAAATTTTGAAAGCACAGACGACATAGTACTAATTTTATAGCCTCAGTCCACGAACTTTTTGATAACCCCTCGTACATGTAATTACATCTAGAAATCGTCATTTCCGTTGCTTTCAGTTTCAGTGCAAGGTTTCATGCAAGTTTTAGTTTACTGAATGTATTATTCGGCAAGTTCAAATACGCGACTGGAGCTTCATGTATTCAATATTTTAGAAGCTAGACATCGATAGGAAAAGTGTAGATATTGATGAAAATCAAAACTGAGGCACTCTCTGAAATCCAAGATGGAAACTGGCGTACCTTCAATCTTTTCACATACAGGGGAAAAATCTTCAAAAGAGCTATTTTCAGTGATTTTTAAAATTTTTATTTTAACAGATGTATTCAGGCATACCTAGAGAAACATATAATACACAAAATACACCATCCAGAAAAAAAGAACCTATGCCGCCGAACACGCAAGTAATGAAATCATTGTTCAATCCTTGAGTGTATGTTTAAAGCCTTTTCTTTGTTTGAATGTGCTTTCAAATCACAATTTGCTGAAAAAAATCTTTGTGCAAATAAATAAAAAACTAATTTTTGTGAACACTTTTTTATTGGCTACTGATTAGAAAACAACAGTCAAAAGAGTTCTCAATATGATGTCATGGAACCACTTCAGTAATTGAAAATTACACAAAAAAAAAAAAAACTACCAGATACGAACGGTATAATAAAAAAATGTGCTAAAACATCTTTAGTAAAAGAACATATCCATTATTTAGTCGAGGCATAGAATAACCCTCTAACAAGAGGCTCATGGGCCACAACGCTCACCTGAGTAACCATTCTCATTGTCAAATGAATACACATGTATCAATCTCTGCATATTCCTATGTTAAACTTTGACCTGCTGTTGTTATCCCACATTTGCTTAAATCTTAAGTCTACACTACAAAGATAACATTTCCTTTCCATGGGTTTTTGCAATTTCTTTTAAATCCATCATTAATAGACTAACATAAATCCCCATAACCTGAAGGACATGGAGAAAGCGGACAAATTTTGAAAAGAAAAATTAATTAGAAATGTGTTTCCTTTGCCCGTATTGCATAAAAAAATCAAGGGAAAAAATCATCTACCAGTAATGTTACATAAAATTCCAGCTAGATAAAAATAGTCAGAGAAAAATAAGATAAAATTATGCACATAAATTCTGTTGTGGGTAAATATAAATCCAATCAAATCTTATTTAAAGATAATAATGTGTTTCAGAGAGTATAAGTTAATACAAACACCATATCTACCGGTATAACCAAAGAACAATTTCAAATATCTATGTATTTTTCTATTATACAATTCGATGTCGTAAGGTAAGGTTTAAAAAAAATTCCAAAGTACAACAAAAATATAGACTTTGTTCTAATGTAAGTCACAGACTGAAATAATAATAGCCCCCCCCCCCAATTTCATTATGAAAGTTTACAGATTTCCAGTAATCAATTAACTTACACAACTAGTGATTGTAAAACTTTTGACCACTGAAGTCAATTCTTTCTACACTGAATGCACCCATCATAAAAACTGTAGAAACCTCTGTACTCACAGACTGTAAAATTCAAATCTGAATCCATAATTTTGAACAGAATTGAAGACTTATTGTGGTAGAATGGCACCCTGATAGATAAGTAAATATTTCAATGTTCAAGTAATCAAGTTCATTTAATCTCTGTGAAGCTATGCTTTGTATTTTTTGTAAGTAACACCCCCCTTTTTAAGATACTAGTAATTAAATATGTGTTCAATCGGGCTTTGTTTACAGAAATAAAACAATGTTATGAATCTTGATAACTAAGACTACCTTGCCAAGACATAAAAAAGCTTTAAAACAAACTCTAATCAAACCAAGAATTTTACATTATACGACAGAAGACTTGATCTCTAACTTTTACAAAGTAGCTACTCTGTTGAAAGCAAGCAATAAAAGCAAGATGAAATAATCGAATGGCACACATCAGTTTAGAAAAAAAAAAAACATCTGAAATTGGCAATATTGCTTAAGTCCAAAATGGCTGCTAAGTCAAATGTAAAGATGCTAAATTCAACAACTTTTCTTATTCTAATTTTTTTTTCGAATTGAAAGAAAATTCATTTGGGGTCAGGATATTATTTTTCTTAAACATAAAAATGTCCTCTCCGACACCTTACAAATAAAGGTAGACATGTGAAAAAAATAAATCTATATGAGCCAACTTCTGCAACCATTATATACAATGTAGCTGAATCCTTGAACACCACCAAAATCAGCATTTTTTTATGAACTGATATGAAACCATTAACTAAACATATTACTAGTAGCTGAATAAAGTCTATGCTAATGGCAAAGCTGCAGAATCAAACTAAGAGATACTAAAATATCAGTGAACCTAGAGTCCAGACTGTGCTATTTCCTTACAATGGAAATCAAAAACTTTTTAAAGTAGTGCTGATTCCTTTTATGTATCCTGAATATAAATATTGTTTTGAATTGCCATAAAGTAATCTGATAGAAAAATATACAAAGAAAAAAATGTAGAAAAAAAAAATGTTTTTGGTAACCATTAAAGTTTTGGTTGAAACTTAGAACTGTAAATTAAAAAGTTTGTCTAGTAGAAAAGAACATTCTAAATCAAAGATAAAAATAGTCTGATACAATCAGAAAAAAAGAGAATATGTACAGAACAACATTTTGATGGCAAAACACAATATAAATGCTATGTTTGTAGGAGAATAATTTTCTTGAAACCAAGTACTGTAAGGCAAATAATGAAACATCAAAAACAAAAAATGAAATGTGTGCCAAGAAAGGCAACTCTAACAATTACAGTATAATTTTCATTTTCACAATGTTCAAAATTTTGTCTCATTTGATAAACTGAATTTGCTGGAATTTAATTCTTCTCTATGTCTTCTGTTTGAATATTGTCATTATAAAGTTTTTTTTTCAGATAAAGGGTCCTTCTCTCTTTTAATTAAATTAAGTGAAGAGTGGGAACAATGAAGCATCACTATTAGGGTTTGCTATATTTCAACTTAAATGTACGGGTAATCAGCTTACAGGCTATTCATATAAAAAGAAATAATAGATCACATCCTGAAATTCTGTAGCCAGTTCATCACAGCTAAGTTTATAAAAAGGTATTTAAAAATATTTATCACCCATTTGTACAAATCTTGGGTTTTCATCAGTACCTTTACATGATTAAGTAGTAATATTCAACCCTGAAATTAATATTCTGTACTTCTCTGACATTGCCCTTACTAATTAATAGCACAAAACATTTACATGTATATAAAAACATGTACAAGCCCTTAATATTCATTTCATAATCATTCAGTAAGTGTTTACCACATAAAACGTCACCAATGCACACAACAAAGCTTTAGTCTCAAATGAACTCACTATTACATAACACTAACCTGAAGGCGTATGATTATCCTAAATTCAGAAACAAAATACCTTGAAGGTTCCTGGTAATGTCAAAGCTTTCATCCGAAATCAATAAAATGCTTAAATCCTACCAGAAAGTTCGAATAATTTTTCTACTGCTAATGAAATATAAAAATACATCTTTAAACTTTCTCTCATAAATATAAGAAAAACTTTAAATGTGAATTATCACATTGAACAATCTTTGTAAAAACAACAAATATTTATCAAAGAGCACATGCAAATATAAATTCAAACTATATAAACTTTACAGAGAGCTGTATTCATGTCTAATCACATAATATCATGGCAACATCTATACATATTGCAATCTCAATGTACGACTGTCATGACTCTGGGAATAGCTACTTCACTTGGTTTTCACCAAGGTTGATGCTTCTGTATCTTTCTTTTCAGCAGAAGGGTCGGATTCTGAGTTGACCAGATTCTGAGAACTGGTTACAGCACTGTTTGTTTCCACGACAGATTTCAATGTATCAGAGTTCATTTGTTTGTTGGAGATCTGTCCCTTGATTGAATTTTCTGGATGTTCAGGGCTAGCACCTAATGTGTCTTTGTCGTCTGTGTGACTGTCAGTATTTAACAATGCCTCCTCGTCAATTTCTTCCTCCTCGGTATTTCCCTCCCCTGGGGTTATGCTGACTAGTAATGAGTCTGAGAGTGTAGCTGCACTCTGTTTCTCTGGCTCAGGCTTGAAAAATAATACAATGTTTCTGTTAATACACATACATTTTTAAAAATGAACCCCCACCCTACCCCCAAAAAATTACAAGCATAACAATAATCACAAGTAATATTTTCTACCCACACAAATGAAAATGTAAATGACACCTATAATTGTAGATTCCTTATTTTTCCGCAAGAACTTATAGTGAAATGGCTCCTTAACATCAAATTGCCAGAACATTTATAGAACAATAATCTGCATGTTGGCTGTCAGTTGATCAAGAGATCTTATATGGATTTCAGAACCATAAAATAAAGTGAGTAATTCTATTTCCCAAATGTCAAGTGATGTTTTTCACAAAATAATGTGCTAACTCATTCCTTGCTTATATTTAGGAATGTACACTATTGTACCTGTAACTTGATTATTATCTGTTTTCAACAATTCTCATCTACTAAAGCTTTACTGACCAATATGGAGATTTAAAGCTGAAGCATTGTTATTACCATGTTTTCTCATGTTTAAGATGAATAATTAGATGTGTTATCAAATTATCATAAGAATTACACGATTCGTATGAATAACTTACTGCACTGTAAAAGGCAACAAATTATTATTTGCTTGACTGCAGATAAAGAAAACCTGAATCATTTAGAATGTACTTTTCATCTTTTATGAAAATAAATTATTAATAGTAAGGGAAAACTAAAAGTTGAGTGGATAATTAGTCCATTAACTAACCTCTTCTCCTTTCAATCTCTGGTTTTCCACTTTCAGTTCTGAGTTCTCCTTCTGCAGCCTTTGTAATTCTTTTTGTAAACTTTCTATCAACAGATCTTTAGAATCCTGCACAGAGTTATTGGAGTACATTGATAAATGTATAACATAATATCAGAATACATGTAGTAGTAACATCCATCAGAAGAAAATGCCCTTTAAAAGATGATAATTTTTTTTGTTTTTCTACTTTGAAAATCAATGGAAATACTACCAGTATTCATTAATATAATAAGTATCTTGAAAAGGAAAGCTATCAATTTTTAAAGCTTCTTTGAATTTCCACTGTCAATTTTTCTTATATATACTGTAATTTGAATTAATTGACAGAAACTCTAAATGGATGTTACACCTATTCTTGCAACTGTATTTATGAGGAAACAGGTGGTATAATATGGTATGAATACATGGAATGAGAGATAGCATTTGTGCATATTTTTTTCAAAATAATTTTCCACGGTATTGTTAATTTCTTTATCTAATGATATGATCATGTGATTTTAAATGACAAAATGTATAATTTTAAAAATTATTTTTTAAAATCAAATCTTAGGAAAAATAATCCATTATTCATAATAAATATAGACATACAACTGTAACTGTATCGTTTAAATATGCAGCCTTTGAATTTGATATATCCAAAGTGTTGAAAAAAAAATATTATGGAATACCATGAAGTGATAATTTAGTATTCATGGTATAAACACAGAAATTATTGAGTACAAACTTTATAAATTATAAACTGTTATATAAAAAAAACACACACACAAAAAAAAAGAAAATTAAATAAAATGGTTACTTTGAATTGCAATATCAGTACAGGTAAAAAAAAATATATGTACATTTAGTTGTTTATATCATATTAAAATAAATGAAAATAATATTTGATTACAAACCTTTTTATTGCTTGTATGGTTGTTGGGATCGGTTAGTGCAATATAATTAGGGCGTATTATTTTATCATAAGGTTTTTCTCTATGCAGAACTCGGGTTTCAGTTGGAATGACAAGTTTTGATCCCTGGTTGCTTGGGGATGTATCAGCAATAGACACTATGGTAGTTTCACTACACTTTGGGATATTGCTTGGATTTTCTGTGGTAGAACCAGAACAGGGTGGGGAACTGATTGAGGTTTCGGGGATAGGTCCACTATTCTCTGTGGATATGGTTGGATGAGGGGAGGCACTTTCTTCTTGGGGACTTAGGTTGGATTCAGACTGCACTACCTCTGTCTGAGACACACTAGAACTGGACACCACAGTATGAGTCTGTAGAGATGAATTGCTTACAGTAGTTGTAAACATATTCTGACCATTTTGAAGAACAAATGCTGGCCTTGGAATCTGGATGTTGTTTCCGATTAAATTCCTAACCAAGGCACCATTTCCTGCCTGCTGAGGAGAATTCAGGTTAACCCTGGCATTTATTAACTGGGCTTGTCCTTGTGGATTGATATTGACTCGTGGTCCAATCAGAGCATTGACTTTTATACCACTCTGTCCCTGTGGAGTGAAGTTATATCTTGAACTAAGTATCCCACTTACGGGAACTTCAGACATTCCATTGTGTACATATCCTTGAGCCTGCTGCTGTAACAGATTTGTCCCAGGTTGTCTTAAAAGTAAAGGTTGCCCCTGTCTCAACAAAACCTGGCCAGGTTGAGCAATATTTGGATGTTGGAGCATCATAGGGCTTCCAGACAAAACAGCCTGATTCGGTTGCATTGCCTGCATCAGATTTAGAGGATATGCTGAAAGACCTGCGGGATTACCAACCATTGGCTGTCTTATGTAGGCATAGTTTCTACCGGCACCAGGTATTTGGTGGGTTGCCATAGCATTAGGGTGAAAATTCATTTCAGCTGTTGTTTTTGTTGTTCATGAAAGAATCAATTGCTATTCATCATCATGTGACATCACACATGGCTATCTGAAAAGAGGTAGAACATTTTAAATAGCACCTTAACCTACAAAGTAGAGGTATACAAACAATATTTACATCACCTTCGTTTATTGATCCATCATTTGCAGACAATTATCAATAACTTTACCCAACTGTTAAATCCATTTTTAATTTTCCGTGAAAACATTAACATATATGTAAAATCTTAAATTCTGAAACAGATATAGATATATGCATTCTGTGTTCTTATTTAAGAACATGTATCATACGCATTGTTATCACGGATGCGCGTGCATACATGCATCCCGTTGCTTCTTTAAATATTCAGAATAATTCACTCAAGAATTTAAGACTTAAAATCGGCGTACGAAGCCTTAAATACAAATAATTCATATTAAAGTTATCTAATAACCAATTTTGAGAATAAATACCTTTAATAAGCTTCTTAACTTTGTATTTTGCGTTTTATGAAATGAAAGTGAAATTCTGATTCCGGAAATGTGCTACGAAAACTAAATTTAAACTAACTATGCACAGCTAATACTATTCCGGACAATACTTTCCATATGTTAGACTTTGTAGTTGACTTTATTTTCTGGAAAATGAACCTTTTTAAAAGTTTATTAAGAACAAACACTTGATTTTGAAATAAATTATTTAACCCATAATCATTAATTGAACTTTTTAACCATCCTCATAAAGTCAGCACTTTGTAAATATGCCATTCTACCATAATATTCATGTATACATATTCATTGTTGCATATGAATTCAACTATCATTTGGATCTCTTCCTCTCTTTAGCTTTATATTTTATTTATGTTGTATTTTTCTTGAATGCCCTTCATGGGCCCAAAATTGGAAATAAATGATATTCTATTCTATGCCCCATGCATGAATGTCTGATTAACACTTACATGTTGGGTGGCGGGATACATTTCCCTCGGATGGTTTTGACAAACTCTGTAACCATATTTCAGTCATTAACGTTACCTTAACCAATGGAACATGACCATGACTTGGACTAACCTAGCTACATGTACCATGCGTGGATCTAGAAGGGGGGGGGGGGTTTGTCCAACCCCCCAACCCCCTTTGGAATTTGCAGAATTTATAAATGTATAAACTAAACCAAGTAAAAGTGACCTTGGACCTACCTTAGGAAACGTGGACCCCTACTTGAAAACGCAGATCTATGTTTAGTTGGTATGAAAAGTTCTGGGTATGAAGTTTTAAAAGTCAAGTCAACTACTAACCCCCCCCCCCCCCCCCATGTTCAGAAAAAAAAAATTATTATTATTATTAATTTTTTTTTTTTTTTTTTGCTTGTCAAGAGTTTTCTGGGTTGGAATTATTTTTTTGACTGAAGTGGAACCCCTCGAAAAAAAATCCTGTATCCGCGCCTAGCTACTATAGAGGGATATTTTTTCTCTACAATATGATTCATGTTTGTAGATCCATATTCTCATTTGTGTAAGTCTCTGACCAATTGATTATGAAAACGGTAATGTTCAAAGTACGTACATGTATATCAATTTTTCTTAATCCTAAAAAGGCATTTGACGTTATAGTATGCGTGAATTGCAAAATTAGCAATTTGTTATGTAGAAAAAAATGAAACTATATATTTTATCCTTTTTCATAGTACAAGTGTGATGTGAGGGAGATAGTTTATGCACAGGAAAATATTTTGATGTACTGGACTGACACTGACCCTAATTCAAATAAAGTCATAACAAAAGTGACCATTGTTATCAAACTTTGGTCAAGACATTTCGGACACATCTTGAACTAAAAGCAAACAATGACAGATTAGAAAACCCTGAAATTGTGGAAAATGACTTGGTTGTTACATGTCTTAGTTTCAATACACCGACAACTTAAATATTTTGATAATAAACCCATATGACTTCAAAACGAATAAAATTTCGATTTCATTCAACATGATACTAGTACATGTATATAGATCTTTCTTTTTGAAACTTTTTTGTACAGCCACCTTTTTAAGCATTGGTTGTCATGGTATCACTGACCGCACGCGCACAGACCGCGCAGTCGGAGCTGAAATCGTGCAGGCCGTGGTGGACATAATCCGAGAAAACTGCATCTATCCAAACGATAGGGTATTTCTCAGGCGCTTGGCATATGTTCAGTCAAAAGACGGGCTCGACATAGGAACATTTCGACCCAATTTTTATGGAGGCATTTGGCAAGTGAGAATCGCCCAAAATAATATATTGTAACTATAAACGTTTTAGTAAAAACCTTTTCTTGTTAAAGAATTAGTAATGGTAACTGGGTACTTTACTAGATGAATAAAATGGAGATAAATTAACCAGTAAATATCTTTTTGAGGTTGAAGAATCGGAATTCAATTTGACAACGTCATGTACCGGCTTGGAGCACCAATGCAAAATCATAGAGGACAAACTTAACATAGTGTGGACGAACGTGGTTTGGAGTAACCTTACAGTGCCGCTGTATTCTGGACTAGCTGCCAGTTTGTTACTCCAGATTAAGGCAGGGAACAATACCCCGGGAGAGACAGAAAAGCAAGCGGAATTCTGGATCAACAACTACAAACATGGCGGCAAAACAAAGACTTTCTATCTGTCAGAGATACAAAAACTGGTTAGTGGTAAGTTCACTTTATCAAAATTACCAACCTATGAGATTCTCGATTTTCATGACTTTTACTTTTTACAACTGAGAGAGAGTGTAAGAGAAAGGATCATTTATGACGAATTTTTCAGAGAATATGTTTTTTTCTTTACAGATACTTGTGAAATTGATTTAGCTTTCATATTAGACACCTCTGGAAGCATTGGATATTTTAACTTCATCGACATGTTGGGTTTTATAAAGAATGTTGCTCGCGGTTTGACAGTTGGGCCCAGCAATGCTCAGATTGCTGTGGTGTCTTTCAGCGATACTGCCCGGATAGAGTTCCAGTTTGGAGAACATGATGATCACGCATCATTAGAAAAAGCAATCAACTCTGTTAATTATGACGCAATGGGTACAGCAACAAGTGAAGGGATAAAGTTGGCCCGGGAATCTATTTTCAAAAATAGCTCTCGGAAAAGCGCTACTAAAGTCGCACTCGTAATTACCGACGGATCTTCGGATTCCTTTCAGGAAACTGTTAAAGAAGCCAAGACAACACGAGAGGAGGGAATTGTACTTTTTGCTCTAGGAATAGGGAATATAAATAAGGCAGAGTTGTATGCCATAGCAAGTCCACCAGACTGTACCCACGTGATCATATTGGCGGGGTTTTCAGAAATCGACAACGTTGTTCAAGAAATCAAGAAATCTGCATGTCGAGGTAAGAAAAGGAAATTAAAAAAACTAGATGGTTCTTATTAAAAAAAACTTTAACTGAAATTGGAAATAATTCTGCATGTTTCTCGTTTCCGGGAATGTTTTTGGTTATATGATCATTTTAAACAGGTCTAGAATAAGCTTGGAAATTAAAATGAACCCATATATAAAATGTACATGCCATAAATGTTAAATGCTAAAATGTATTGCCTTTCTTTGGTCAATATAAGGTTACCGGATCTTTATTTATCGAAACATCCTGAAAACCACGATAGAGTCGATGTTAACTTTAACATATCCGGTTCTGGGTAAAGTGCATTTGAAAATTGTCAAGTACTACAGATAACGCGTATACATGTACTGTATTTACTGTAATATATTCCATTGTAGAGCTACTTGTAGACTGTTATACATATCTATAACTGGGTTTATGTTAATATTCACAATCATTTACTAATCATTCAGATCCTATATAATCCTTTATTTGATGATCCATGCATCAGAACAAATAAAATTCATCAGTTTTCTCGCTTCAATTCCATGCATGTGATCCCCTATAAAAGTCCTAAGGATATGTGAGAAACGTACACTTATGTACTTATATTTTTGTGTTATGTAAAAGATTCAAGAAGGGCATGTACAGATATTCATAAACATGCATTTATAAAGGAAACACACAGTTTAGACTCCGCACACAGATTGTACAATATTGCTGCAAAATTCCATACTTTTCATTAAATTATCTAGGACTTTAATTTATCATTTAGTTGATATCTTTTAAAAATCCCATGTAATGTATGCTGTTTTCTTTTTGGCCAGAAAACAACTGATATTGCTATAATTTATTACGAATGTCTCTATAGATAAGGTACTTTGCATCTGAGGTAAGATATTACTATAATCTCACTTGACTTTGCAGCACCAATAGTTGTGGATTCTAACAGTGTAGTGGGTATAAATGGAACTAACGTGGATATACACGGGATCAGACTGAATGTTACTTACAAACACAGTATCCACACCACTACAACGCTGGCCTTTGTCACACAGAAAAGGGACTCAAACATCACAGGGTCACACAATGTGCTAGAGGTAAAATCCAATGCATAAAATGGAAAGTTAAAGTCCTTTTCAGATATTATTTGTGCTAAAATCACTTCGCTTTTGAAACTTAATTCATCAGACAAGATTTTGTCTTTTCTTGTCTTAAACCACGTGGATACCTGAATTAACATTATAATTGCCATTCATGCTTTTCAAGGTCAAGGTAAATTGCGGTGTTGTTCAAGTGTACACTTCCTTCGACAACCCTCACCCTAGCTCCGTCTTCTACAACCAAAAACTGACCGCTACAGACGGACATCCGGCACTTCTCTTCCTGAACAAGACGGCAGACGGTCGACCTCTGTATGTGACGTCAGTGGGAACACCATACGGCATCAAGGGAAAGAACTGTACCGACGCAAACTACTTCTCAACATTTGCTCATATCAATATATCCAGTACGCATGCGAAGATCTCTCTACACTTTCTCTAAAATATCAAGCATAATTAGAAGTACAAGTAATGCTGTAAAATGTTAGTGGAAAGTACTTAACACAATATGCATCGACAAGTACTTACATGTAGGAACAATGTTATAGACATTTCAGTTTACTCCAAATGAAGTTGGTTAATACATATAAAATGCATTTGTAGCGAAATATTCTTTGAAAATACGATTTTACCACTAGATAACGACTTATAAAGAATTTTTCAAACATAATATTATAACAGAGGTTGATGTGATATGTCGAGAAGAGGGACTCGAACGACCGTGTACAAAAAAGGACTTCGAGCTGAAACCAGCTTTCAAGGACATGGTGTGTAAGTCAGGCGGTGAGTACTTCCCAAACTTCTATCAAGGTGTATAGAGTGCACTTAGTCATAGCTGCAGAAGTGTAGAACTCCGAAAAATATACTGACAGACCGGAGAGCTACAGTACCACTCATTGAAAAAACTGTATATCTATTGCTCTCAAAAAAGTGCGCTGTTTTTTGATTTATTTCTCCTTTTTCGACCCGCCTGCTCAAAATTTTACTTACCAGGTTTTCCTAACATATTCTTGCACTACATGTACATATCCACAATAAAATATTGATTTTCTAATAACCGTTGTGAACAGCCCTCCTGGGCCGAATATGGAAACTATCGAAAATTGTGCGGCATCGCTCACACCATGGATTACCACCGATTACCACCGGTCTACTGCCACCGGCCAGGAAATGTGATTAAGGCAAATGTCACATTTCCCGGCCGGTGGTAATCCGTGGTGTGAGCGATGCCCCAACATCGGTCCACTTCGGCCTAGTAGTCCTTAAAGCATCAGTCATATTATCCAGCGATGGGTGAACGATGGGCAACCAATGCGTTTTTTGGATAAAATGGCGTGGTTGCCGGCCTGACTTACAAAGGCCCAGCGATGCATTGCTAATAATAAACTATGTTCCAGGGGTAATCGGCCGATGTATGTAACATCGCTCATACATTGGTGAACATCGTTCGTACGTCGTTCGACTATGGGCCAATGTTTGGTCGAATATCGACCGATGATCGGCCGATGTCTGTTGCCCACCACTCAAGCCTCCGATGACCTCAGATTCAACAGACACTTGACGATGCTCGGCCATACATCGGCCAATCCTTGAAAGATGTGTTAATGATGGGTTGCCGATGAGGAGCGATGTGGGGCATTGGTGGAGACATCGCTGATTTTAAACTACAAGTTATTTTCTACCGATGATCCCAAACGATTCGTTAAATGGCCTCAGTCACCGTCCGATTACTATAAAGTATAAGTCACATTATCCAACGATGGGGTATACGATGAGAAACCGATTCGTTTTTTGATGAAAATGGCGTGGTTGCCGGCCGGGCACCACTAGTGATCGGACGGCGACTGAGTCTTTTTTTGCGGATCGGTGGGGTCATCGGTAGGAAATAATTCGTAGTTAAAATTCAGCGATGTCTCCAACGATGCCTCACATCACTCCTTATCGGCAACCCATCATTAACACATCTTTTAAGGATCGGCCGATGTATGGCCGAGCAGCGTCAAATATCCGTTGAATCTGAGGTCATCGGGGAGTTTAGTGGTGTTCAACAGTTATCGACCGATCATCGGTCGATGTTCGACCAAACATTGGCCCGTAGTCGACCGATATACGAACATTGTTCACCAATGTATGAACGATGTAATATACATCGGCCGATTATCCTGGAACATCGTTTTATAATTAGCAATACATCGCTGGGCCTTTGTAAGTCCGACCGGCAACCACGCCATTTTTCTCATAAAACGCATTTGTTGTCCATCGTATACCCCATCGCTGGATAATGTGACTGATACTTCAGGGACTACTTGGCCGATGTGGACCGATGTTGGGGCATCGTTAACACCACGGATTACTACCGATTACCACCGGTCTACGGCTACCGGCCGGGAAATGTGACCTAGGCATAAGTGTCCGGCCGGCAACCACGCCATTTTTATCAAAAAACGCATCGGTTGCTCATCGTTTACCCCATCGCTGGATAATGTGACTTGTCTGATACTTTAGACGGCAAGATAATTCAGTTCAACACGCATTGTGAGGTAATGATTTGGAGAAATTAGTCCAAACATGAGTGCAGCTATTTGTGCGCAAGAAATATACATTTTTATTTCTATGGGTAGCACTGGAGCTCTCTGGTCATCCATCCCATATTGTGCAGACCAGCGAGTTACAGATCTGCAGCCAACTTAGTCAATACAGGAATAAAACCACGCAAGGCTTCAACTCATTTAGGTGTTAGGAAACAGAGTAACCTTCATGTATTCGATGATATATAATGTATGCTCTAGGATGAATATACAGTATGTAACATATATTGTTGTGGAAAGTTCACTGACATTAGGATAAAAATTTATTGAAAACATATCACATCATCCTTATTAGGGGTGATTTCACATAATGAGACCATTTTGCTAACCATTTTTTGTACATTCTATATAGGAATGTCGGTTCCAAATCCCTGTTCAACTACTGCTCTTCAGAGAGGAGAGTTTTATCATCCACATCCAAACGACGACACAAAATTCATAAGGTGTGATTATCAACAGAAGATGTACGTCATCCAGTGCCCGGATGGACAACAGTACACAAATGTATGTCTGTCAATATCTAATAGTATCTCATTTCTTTAAATGCTTCTATGTTAGTATTTCTAAAATAATTATAGTTCCTCTGGTTTGCTCAGAGTCATTGAAATCTTATATTCAAGTCAGCAGACATTTCTCAGAAATCCCTTTTGCTATAAATACGTTCTTATACTTCTTTTGAAAATTAAGAAAAGCTTCAGTAGTAACAGTTCCATCTATGCACATTATGTAATTCATTTTAATTTAAACAAAACATCATTCAGAAAGAAAACAAATGCTTCGGATAAATGACGCATACAGTATATGCTTCCCCTTTCACGTATCTTTAATGAAGGATATGCCTAATAACCATATCAAATAACTTCAACAATGAAAATATAATATGATAGACGAGCTTTACATCAAGACATGCATGTCCTCACTAGAATGTACTTGTTCAGGGTTCAGATTCCTGTGGAACAGCGCAGGTAGCAGTGGGAGGAGATAGGGTATCTCTTGACCTTGACCTCGTGAACCCCTGCACGCCACAATCTCTTATCAACCACCGGTTCTTCTTCTCGTACCCTAAAGATAACACAAAGTACATTCACTGTGACGTCTGGGGACATGCTTGGGTGTCTAACTGTTCCTCCAGCATGGTGTGGAGCCAGTCAAAACAGACATGTACCCCGGATGTCCACACCTCCACAAATCCCTGCACACAGGACAAAGTGAAGCAGGGATATACCATGTTCCCTCATCAAGATCCCCACAAGTACATACACTGTGACAACGCCCTGAATCCCTGGGTTCAGTCCTGTACCCCGAATACAGTGTTTAACTTTGCTTCCCAGAACTGTGTTTGGGAAACTGCACCTGTTGGGTGATGATCCTATCTGGACTGGAGAGTCGTGGAAAGTTGTTTTTATTTCATTCCATAAACAAACTCGTCAAAGTCGGTTTCCATTCTGTCATCTTAATACATTTGTAACACATGTATTATCCTCTATTAAATTCTTTTATTTTTCCACAGTTTTCCCCCTGTTTTTTTTATCAATATTAATCACAACTACTTTTTAAATATAAAATTGAAAGGGAATGTTATGTATTTTTCTGCAATGAAAAGCACATTTTTAAGTTTTAAAGTAATTACTCTGGTGATTTTAGAATTTACGACACGTGTCTGTCAATGCCATGATTAAACAATACTTAATGGCGAATTCTTCGAAAATTTGTCAATAGTTCCACTTCTTCCCTGGCAACGTGATCATTTAATCGATTGTTGAAGTCATTAAGTTTCGATGACATAAATTTTTCATTACTTCAAACAAAGATCATATTACTTCATGGTTAATTACTTTTCGGATGTATAAAAATATAATTTGAGCTAAAATAAGTCTATTATTATTAATGATTATTTTTTAAAGTTCTTTTCTAGATTAAAAATAAGAATTGAATTTGAATGACGATTTGCTATAATTCCAAACAATAGTACTGATACAAATATATTTGATGATATCAGATCATTCAATCAAATATTTACAAGAATATTTCTTTCTTAGAAGACCGAGAGTTTATTAAATGGATAATATTCATTCTGTCAGTACTCTGATGGGTTGTTTAAAGAATGAAAGATCTCTCCCTGCCGGTTATTTAATCGGAAAGTTGATGATGCACTTATGTAGTTTTTCTCTAGGTCTGGTAGAAAATCCAGTATGATTTTTTTTAAAAAGAAAAAAAACAGTTCGATTTTGGAGTTGTGTGATTATTTAATAATTTTTTGTATTTGGTAAGAACAAATAAGATGCAATTAGTTTTCCTTTTTAAAAATACAACCATCAGTGAATTTCCTATTAAATTAGACAGAAAAAATAAATTAATTATAAAATTCTGATATGAATCCAAACTCGACATTAATTTGTTAAAATTCAAGGAAAAACACATGCAAGTGATGATATTTTGTTTTTTAATGAATAAATTTTTCCTGCACCATTTGTTTTAACATTTATACATGACTATTTTGACATGGTGCTTGGATTTATCTAAGACAAATAAAACATCTTTACGACGTCGCTATTTTTCATCAGTTCACGTATGAGTTTTGACAAACCAGGAAGATGGATGCCAACAAGAAAGTCCTTTCTTTGGCAGTAGTAATTTTTGCATTGTCTTTGAAATTCTGCTCGTCTGCTGTCGACCGGACGCGGGAAGATCGCGCGGTGGGAGCAGACATTGTTCAGGCAGTCGTGGACATTATCAGAGAAAACTGCATCTATCCAAACGACCGGATCTTTCTCAGAAGACTTGCTTTTGTCGAATCAAAGGATGGACTCAGTACAGATACGTTCAGGCCTCACTTTTACGGCGGGATTTGGCAGGTTATTATTCATTTTATTGTTCATGCCTCTCCAATACGTATGAATCTGTCCATAAATATGATGTCATTCTGCCAGAATGATGTCATGAAAAATCATAATAAATACGAACGATTGCTTGTTTACTTAATTTGGGAACAATTGAAATACCGTATCGTATAATGGTTTTACTAGAAAAGAACAAATTCTAAAAATTTGCAAATTTTAATTTAAAGAAACCGTGTTAATTAAATTGTATGTATCGAATCTGAAATGTTTGTGTACATAATTGCTTAGTATTCAACATCTTTCCTGCACAGATACAAAAATCAGAGTTTGAGTCCACTAAACACTGCTACGGATTGGAAGACATGTGTCTGGCTATCAAGGAAAAGCTACACATTGACTGGAGGAGAACAGTCTGGCAGGATCTCACCAAACCTCTGTATTCCGGATTAGCCGCTAGTCTGAAACTGCAGCAACTTGTCGGAAACAATACTCCTGGTGTCCTAGAAAAGCAGGCAGATTTCTGGGTGCACAACTATCACAAAGGAAGATCTGCCTCTCAGTTTATAACGGAAGTAAACAAAATCCCAGATGGTAAGACTTTCAAATTTAGTTTTTTTTATTTCTAAATCATCTTAGAAATGACTTTGAAATTTGTCGTACGTTTCTTGGTCAAATTTGAGAAAATCTATAATAAGCGTTTGAAAATTAATTGTAAACTCATTATAAATTTCCCAGCATATATCAAGAAAGATTTCCTTTCTTTCGTTGATTATAAAATTTTATATTTTTTTGAATCGCAGAAAAATGTCAAATAGATTTAGCATTCATGTTGGACGGATCAGGAAGCATTGCATTCTTAAATTTCCTGCGAATGCTGGAATTTGTTAAAAATACCACAAAACAATTCGAAATTGGGTCTGATGCAGTTGAAGTGGCGGTCATCTCTTTCAGTGATTATGCACGTGTAGAGTTTGGATTTGGACAATATAATACTCATAGTGGACTTAATATTGGGATTGATAACATTCAGTATGATGCTGGAGGGACAAACACTGCCTCAGCCATCCGTGTTACTAGAACCTCTGTCTTCGGCTACAACTCGAGACCGAATGCAGTAAAAGTTGGACTCGTCATCACAGATGGTTACTCAAATTATTTTAATAGCACCGTCCAGGAAGCTTTTTACGCTAAAGAGGATGGTATTGTTCTCTTTGCAATCGGAATAGGAAATGTCAATGAGGTAGAATTAAATGAGGTAGCAAGTAGTCCAAACTGTACTCACGTTTTCTTCATTACTGAGTTTTCCGATATTGACACCCTGGTGTACGAAATAAAGAAAGCTGCATGTCGAGGTATGCAATTTTTTTTAAAAAGATTGAATATTTTATTTGTAACATTAATTCATGTTTAATGCAAACAGAATACGTTCAAAGATTTAATATTAGATTTTGAATTACAGCTCCGGTTGTGATAAATCTTGGTCAAACCAAGCCACCCGTCACAGGTCCGGTAACTGATATATTCGGATCAACCATATCACCGACTGCTACAACGGGAAATAACGGAGGATCAAAGGGAATAGAAAACAACATTACGGCCAATGGCACGAAAGTCACAATATCTGTACAAACTGACATCCACAGTAACCAGAACAACAAAACTTCTACAAACACCATGATGAATGCAAGTTTCCTTCAAGCTCATTTTTATAAAAACACAATTTTTTTCATTTTATTATTATTATTTTTTAAGTAAATGGTTTTTGGTTTCCACGAGGACAAACAAAATCAACTTTATCAAGTACGCATACTACATGTATGCTTTCAATTATTATTGAGGTTTCTCTCATTTTGAAAGGTGTCTGTGAACTGTGGAATTGTCCATGTGTACACTTCCTATGACAATCCCCACCCCAGTCCAGTCCTGTACAATGACAAACTAACAGCTACTGATGGTCATCCGGCCGTTCTTTACATTAACAGAACCGTAGACGGGCGCCAGTTATATGTGACTTTTGTTGGAACAAAACTCCCTCCAGAAGCAGCTGGTCTGAAAAACTGTAGCGATGCCAAATATCAAGCAATTTTTATTACAGAAAACAAAACAGGTATAACGCAACACATCCTTTTTAATTTAAAATTCTTTACATCTACATTAATAATCATATATCAGTTTAACGTAAAATTAAATTATCATGCAATTGTAAGTTCATAATAATTTTGAATATATATTGATATCATTTTATAATAATAGATGTTGAAATAGTCTGTCGTCAAAATCACGTAGAGCGCGAATGCACCAAGATGGATTTTCAAATGCATGAGAAGTACAAGGAATTTTTATGTAGCACTACAGGCGGTACGTTCTTTGCTTTCTATAATAGAAGTTAATAAGCATGACGCATAATTAAAGATATATTTAGCTGGCAAAAATGTCTTCCATAACTTTCAGGTATTAACGGGCTTGTGATTGCAAATCCTTGCACAGCCACTGCTATACAGAACAACGAGATGTACCATCCCCACCCCTATGACGACACCAAGTTTATTAAGTGTGACTATCAACAAAAGATGTACGTCACACTGTGTCCCAGTGGAGAAAGATATCATCAGGTGTTAAGAATTTACTTTTTCATTATTAAATGGTGTTAGATATCCATTTTATTTCTACGTAAAGATTGAGTGAATCGACCTCATGGTTGTTTTTTTTTTTATCTTGCCGTGTCCACGGTGTCCACGTTTCTGCCATGTAAGTCTACAAATGTAAGGAAAACGTAAAGATGCCATGAGAAATAAATATATATATATATATATATATATATATATATATATATATATATATATATATATATATATATATATATATACTTCTTTCATCCAAGAAAATGGAAATAGCTATTAATTCTATAATCACTCCAAGCTAATTGTTTACAAACATGCTGTGAATTGTAGGGTTCCCATTCCTGTGGATCCACCACTGCTACTATATCTAAAGACAAGACTCCACTGGACCCTGACCTGTCGAATCCCTGTACTGCGCAAGCGCTGATGAACCACCAATTCTTCTTTGCATACTCCAGAGATAAGACAAAGTTCATTCACTGTGACGTATGGGGTCATGCATGGATCATGCTATGTGCTTCAAATTTAGTTTGGAATCAGCAGAGTCAGACCTGTATTGAAGATACACACACCTCCTCTAACCCTTGTACCCAGGATCAGTTAGATAAAGGAATCACAATGTTTCCACACCAAGACCCCCACAAGTACATACACTGCGATAATGGACTAAATCCCTGGGTACAGTCATGCACTAGCGGACTTACTTTCAGTTTTTCATCACAGAACTGTGTTTGGGATTCAGTCGTTGGTTGATTATGTATCAGTATTTGCTCTATAGTACGACTTTATGACTTGATATTCATCACAGCTTACCATCAGATCTTAGACAAAGATACGTCCATGTGTTTGAATGTAACCATTTTTTATTAATATTAACGACTTTATAATAAGAAAATGGACCAGTTTAATTCAATCCATACAAGCATTTTATTTTTGCTAGCCGTGAGGTCTTATCAATTAAATACTTGTGTGTGATTTAATGTCACATTTTTACACAATGTCTCAGCTGTGTGAACAATTACACAGAGTATACACTAACGCACAATCTTAATATTTATACCCCAAATCCTGTTATGCCTCCCTTCAAAGAAAGGAGGGCATTGCTTTACTGCTGTCTGTCGGTCCACCACGTTTTCATTCATTTGTAGACTCTCATCAAATCTTGACCCCCGAGGGTAGGAGCGGGCCTCAGTGGGAATTAAAAAAGGATTGCTTCCTTATTCATAATTATGCAATACTGTTATGACTATTCTAACACTTATGAGAGAAAACACGCCTTTTGCGTGTTATAAACTAGTATAAATACGAGGGTTGATCCAAAAGTAATGTCACAGTGCCCATATCTTTTATATTTTGCGTCATATTATCAAATACAATACACCAAAAGATGCACAAATATAAATCTAATTAATATTAAAATTGTAATTTTATAATGTTTATTTGAATTTTTTTTATAGATGTTTCAAACATAGAAGCTAGGGGCTGTCGCCGCGTCACAACGGAACGTCAAGTTTAACAGTGTATATTTTCTAGAATGAAAAAACACAAACACATTAAAAAGATTCTAAAAAAGCGCCTAATCTCCCAATTTTTTAAAAGGCACAATTCTCTCATTTTCTAGTCTCTAATTGAAAATTAAGTGACGGCATTGGTATTTGTGATCATAAACATTGTTGTTTTACTATTTTGAATTGAACAAAGGGATTGTTGAAATGGGAGAAAACGGCTCGACGAGTTGTAATGCATTTGTTGCTTCAAAATATGGGTATCATCATCAGCGAAATTAACGTTAATTAATCAGACTTGCAGAATAAAGAATCTAAATCTAAAGAGACATCTTAATACATGTAGGTGGTTTTAGCAATTTTGGGCGGGTGATTTGTCACTGAATAATCTGCAGAGGACAAAAAGACTGAAAGGTAGGAGATCAGACGGAAACGTTCAATGGTGTCTGACGTAAAAAAAAGACAGACGTATAGAGTGACATGCATATATGTAAATTTCTAAGTTTGTCTTTGCTACTGTTCAAAATTTTGGACAGAGGGCTGAATTAAGAAACGAGTGAGTGTATTATGGTACCAAGAACTCTTTAAAAAAGTGGAATTGGTGAAAGTGTTTGCGAATCACAAATATTTTTAATGAAACGAAGGGGAAACGCTTAAAAGTATGACGGTGCATATCCGTCATATGAGGTTTTATTTAGGTGCGGCGACTACCATAAACGCACATTGTTTAAAATCCGATATTTTGGAAAGTTTGCATCATATTCCTTTGAATTTTTGAGGTCTGATTTGAAATAAATAAATCTTTCATCATGTAAAATGTTGTTGCTTTACGTTGATTTATAGCAATTTTATCAAAGTTGTGACATTACTTTTGGATCAACCCTCGTATACAGTAATACGAACCAAATTTGTGAATGCAAAGTCACCGACTCTTCCATCGTCCTTACGTATCTTCAATTCTCTGTCTTGCTCTTTTGTGCGCAACATTGAATGCCCTGTCAGCTGGTGTACTTGGGGCCTTAAGAGAAGTAATGAAATATTGCTTCAACGGGTAGGCTTGGTCATCGAAAAGCCAAAAGAGGGCTCAATTTCGAACCACTCTTTTTGCGAACACCTATTCTAAAAATATGCGTCAAGTGTGGCTACCAGGCCATTGAACAATAATGTTTCACAAACTTCCTGAACATTCATTGGCAGGTGGTTTTTTCAACACACATACGCGTCTTTCCTTTCCGATGGTTTAATTTGGAGTCTTCCATCAACGCATCCTAGTACATTTGGAATGTTAAATTCGCATTCTGTTTGCTTTCAAGCTGTTCTACTACAGTATTTTCTCGGGGAACTTAAATTCCCTTGCCGTATTTGATAAAGCTCTAGATGTTTTGCAGACAATTCTTAAAACAGTTGGTTGGCTTATCCCTGAAATGTCAGGGACTACCTGTGATCCAGTGGCAAAGTACCTCGGAGCCGTCAAAACTTGCAGAGAAGCCGGTATGCTCTTGGACCTCATAGTAGGTGGTTCCAAGTCCTCAGCCAACTTATCAATGATATCTAAAAAAAAAACAAAATCTTGGCATGCAGAACTCATAAATATGACTTGATTGTCGTACATGTCAAATTTCTTTGGTGTAGTCTTTGGAATAAGACTTGAAACGTTATATCGTAGTTACATGAATAATGGGTATGACGTAAAATATTAAGAAAGATTGATTGATTGATTGTGTAACAGGCTGGCCTTAAAATATCCTTATTTCCATTATAGATGTTTCACACAGGAAGTCCATATGTTCTTTATAACTGTTTATTAACTTTCATCGCAAACATAAATAAACAAGTCAACATTTGATGCACAAAACTGTGTTGGTCCCTTTATCAACATACACACATTTTGTCAGGGTCTCATGAGTGGTGGGAGATAGCTCAGTATAAAGTTCTAGGTATCTATAGCCATAATGGGGTTTGAAGGGGAATAACTCTTATAACAAAGAGTGTTGTACCAGGAGTAAAAATGTGAAGAATATCAATAATTTACATTTTAAGAGATTGTCAGTATTTCACTTGTCAGGAATTATTGTCAGGAAATCCGGGTGTCAGGAATTCTGGGTGTCAGGAATTTATAAAATGTCAGGATTCTGGGTGCCAAGTTATGAAAACAATCTTTATGCTGAATAATAATTAGAACTGTCTTTATAAAAATTATGATCTTGGTTTTCAGAATTCATCATACCTAATAAGTAGGGATGTCAAATTTGTCAGTAATTGATATTCGAATATTCGATAGAAGTATTCGAATATATTCGAATATTCGATACAATAAATACATTTTGCATTATAAAATATATATCTTCACTCTCCTGTCAAGCAGTATAGGTTTTATGCCATTATTTTAGAATAAGAACTCATATAGAGTTTGATAAATGCACCTCAATTATTTTTCTTTTTAATTATCAAATATAGAAAGAATATAAATCCAAAATGAAAGGTTTTCTTGAAAATTCAAAAGTTTCTTTAGTATGTTTCAGATTAATTGATCGTCTTACTAAAGTATTCACTGATAACTCCTACAATTATATCAAGCAGAACAATTATCTAACAGAGAAATATTAAAAACAATTAATTTTGGCCAGTTAATTTCATGATAATGATTTTTAATGATATTTATATAAACAAGGGATCCATGTGATTACTTTAAAACTGTGTCCTTACAACAATCCAAGCTGATTGTAAGTACTGGACACCTTTATTAAACTAATTAAGTGAAAAAATGAATAAATTACTCTAATAGATACACTCTTCACACCTTTAAGATAATCCAAGAGGTCAGTGTCTTTTAATTTTGTACAAACTTTATTTAATTTCTAATTGAACTTGCCAGGTTTTTCTCTCTTTTTAATGCTTTTACACTTTAAAACGAATACTGGTGTATTCGAATCATAAATTTATATTCGAATATCAACTCATCGAATGAATATTCGAATATTCGAATATTCGTTGACATCCCTACTAATAAGATAACAATTAGTCAAGTGCTCAGTGGAGCTATCTGACAAAACTGAGAAGTTGCCTCACTTATATAGCTTTTGCATCTAGAAACTAACCAATCAAAATGCTTCATTTCCCTGACAATCCTGACAGGCATAAATTATTATAATTCTAACAATTATAAGCAATCATACATTACCAAATTATCCTATTGACTATATATTCTCTATACACAATAAAATGAATGCATTACTTACTTAATAAATCAAGAATTAAACAATTCTTAACAAAGCACTATCTCTTGTGGTGTAACTATAGTAGACATCAGTGATTAGGTAATATTCTTGAGCAATATAAATAGTGCCAAATGACAACAATCATAAATAGAGAAATCAAATCTACAGGTATCTTTTAAATAGTTCAAGTTATAAAAACTATAATTTAATAGGAAACTACTTGTACTAGCTTTACATTATCACAAATCCAAATTATTACGCCAAGTGAACTATTTGATGATGTCATACAATGGCGGCCTACATGCACTGACAGTAGATGTCATGTCATAATAAATACAGTGTGGATTACTTAATAACATCACTGAAACTCCTGTAAGTAGATTCTTATATTCATTGACATAAAATCTTGAACAATTTAAGAACATAGCCTTGTCAGGTAAATAATAATCTAAAGACATAAGCATCTAACAGAAAAACATGTGGGACCAACACAATGGTAAATCTATAAACAAAACAAACATGGCATGATTCATGGAATATACCAATAAATGCATGTACAATAACTTGAACTTGAACTTTTACTGATAAAATCTACCCCCCTTTATCTAATAATGTAATGAATATTACACTCCCCCCACCTTAAATCCACAATTCTCCTGAATTTACAATCAAATTAATTTACTGGTTTTGGAAGCCTAAGTTTCACATGACATTCATCAAGTTTGTCTATGATCCAGTCCGTAGATATATCACGGCAAGCGGTACAGTGCTCTAACATTTCCAGTAGTTTCTCTTGTTGTCCATTCTTCACACCACAAACGGCGATGTCGCATATGGCGTTATAATTATACAGTCTCATATTGATCTCATTGGCTTGATTCTTGGTTAGGATTGGCATTGCTGAACCTGGCAGACACAGGAAATTAAAACACGAAAGCAGGTAATTTTTATCTACGGCAAAGTCTAAAACATCTTTAGAAGTAATGATAATTGCTGCCATCTCCCAGGCGTGTAGTCTTTGTTCTGGTGAGAATGTTTCCCATTCAGGTGGAGGCCATGATAAGGGAACTGGAGTGTCAATGATGGAGACCGGAGGAACTCCACTCCACTCTCGCTTGCCTGGTGGGAGAAGAGGCATAACCCCTGTCGACAATAGCCTCATGGCTCTCTGTCTTCCATCAACAGTAGGGTGGAAAGGGGTTGAAATTGGAAATGCCAATAGAATTCCTTGTTGTTGTTCATATGGAAAGGTGTCTGCAATAGCAGGACTATGTATCTTATATGTAAAAAGATCTAAATCCAGTTTCTCCTCACTGTTTTCCTCTTTCCTCATTTCTACATCACAACTCTCTTTCTGTCCATTCCTCTCCCCTGCACTATTCACCATATAACTGTTCTCCTTTCTGCTCCTCTCCTCTGTCCTGCTCTGTGTTTCACTACTCTCTTTCTCTCCACTCTTCTCCCCTGTGCTCTTCACCATATAATTGTCTCCTTTCTCCTTTCTGCTCATCTCCTCTGTCCTGCTCTGTATTTCACCAATATCTTTCTGTCCATTCCTCTCCCCTGTACTATTCTTTATATAGCTGTTCTCCTTCTTCCTGCTCTTTTCCTCTGTCCTGCTATTTACATTACTATTGTCTTCCTTCCGGTTCTCCTCTTCTGTCCTGTTTTTTACTTCACGGTTCTCTTCCTTGCTGTTCTCGTCCTTTTTGCTCTCTCCCATTCCACTATTCTTTCCCTCTTTCCTTACATTCCTCTCTTTATCATTCGTTTCTAAATCTTGACTGCTGGCAGTATAAGTAAATGTCGCTTGAACTCCTTTTTTTACAGATATGATGTCACTCTCTTCCAATCCGATAGTACTTGCCAGATGTTTGGACAGCTGTTTCCCTGGGTGTTTAACTTCTTTAAATGTGGGTGGGTTCTTGGAACAACCTCGCACTCTTCGCAAGACACTCGCTAACAGCTTTGGATCTTTGTCTAGTGATCGTAAAGTTAGATTGTACCAGAGGGTATGGTCATGCGAATGGACAGTCAGAGAAGGGTTCTCTTGAAATTTGATACTGCAAAGTTGAAGGGAATCTGTTTTGGCTGGATCTTCCGGGGTGTATTTCAATCTCTTTGTTTGAGGTTCCATCTCTTCTTCGTAGTCTGGTATGAACTTCAAGGTTTCCTCGCTGTTTCCCCTTTTGTTCATCTCTGCATTCCACTCACTTTCCCACTCTTCTCTCCGGTGTCTCTGGACTTGAGCAGTGTCGAACCATGCCCTCACTAACTCTCTGGCTTTAATAGCTGAAGGTGCTCTGGCAGGACTTGGAGTTACCAGTCTACGGTAATCTCTGGGATAAATGGACAGCCAAAACCCGTTGGTCTCTGAGAAGAAATCATCTTTTAGTTCGACAGCATCGTCCCTATGCTTTGTTGTCACGTGTTCTTTGAGTTCTGGTGTTGATCGTTTGAACAACTTCTCCTTTGGGCAGAAGGGACACACCACGCGCATGCATCCATGTTCTCTGCTAGACAGATGGTTTTTTCTACTCCTCAGGGTGGCGAAAACCTGATTACACTTCCAACAGGATATTCTTAGCTGGGAAGCCATTCTGGAATTTGAATTTGATAAATTAAGCCACTTGGATAGATCTTTACTTGGCAACCAGGAATCTGTGTCTGTCAGGTTAGCGTCTTAAGTCAGAGCGTAATATAAATGTTCATGAAGGGGGATAACTATGGACATGGATCTAGGTACATGTATACTCAAATGGCAGAAGGGAGGGGGGCATCACCATAGTATGTAGCAACAAACACAACAATTTTCAACACGAGACATCTCGTTTACTCATCGTAGGACATCCTCTTCCTACATCAGAACTTCCCTATCTAACTGCATCGACAATACGATGAAACAGAAAAAAATAAAAATTAAGGAATTCTCATTGAGAAACCCTGGGTGATCAGGCCAGTCTTCCCAACTACATCATCATCATCACTAAGCTTAGATTTCTTCTAGTTACTTAAGTCTCCTCTACTTAAGTCTCCTCTTCAAAACTTCTCACATTCTATAAACAGCTGCTTGTTGTGTCTGCAGCATATCCGTGCTGTCTACAAAACTGCCCCATCCACCCTGGTACATTTCTGCTATGATATAAGGCCAGACGATCAATATGGTACACCTTGGGTGTTTGAGACCGACTTCTTTTAACCTTGTATGTAAGATCATCTATACATTTGGTCACAACAAATGGACCCTTCCAAGGTGAAGTCAGTTTACTACAAACTCCCTTGGTTCTGGTCGGCTCATGGATCCAAACAGTTTGTCCCACCTTGAGTTTACGCTTCTTTGCATGGAGATTTTATGTTCTCTTCTGGTACTGAGATCTTTGCTTTAAATGTTTTCTTGCCAGTTCTTCCAAAATCATCCGAAGATTTGGAAAATATGTCTTGAAATTGAAGGAGCAGCTTTGACAATTTTGATTTCTCATCTGCGGAAAGGTTTACTGAACTTTTAATGTAGAGCTCCTGGAGGTGAAGTGGCAATTCATCGGTTTCCTCTTTTAATTCACTCTTCACAACACGGCATGGAGATTCCTGACAGGAGTTCAAGTAAACAGATTCACACGTGGTTAGCTTGAAGTTTGGCTTTAGCTGGACTACCTTGCTTGAAATATTGAGTACTTGTATTACTGGATTTTCCTTCCTTACATCTATTAGTCCGGAGGTAACTATGAGCTGGTTCTGAAAAATTTTGTTTCTTTCAATCAGCCCAATAGAACTCAGATGGTCTGCATTAGATATAGTCACTGGAACAAGTTTCCCAGTCAGAGCAGGTATAGTTGTGGTTTCTCGAACATTAACTGCACACACAGATTCGGCTTCACCTTTGACATTGCAGGGGAACGAACTGTCACCAACTTTCATTTCCATTCTTCTGTAATCAATTCTATCTACATTTCTAATCAGAAAATCCTGACCAAGTATTGCAGGCTGTTCAATCTTGCAGATTACTGCTGACTGCTGTACGTGCTGATCTTTAAAGAAAATTTCAAAAGTAGCCAAACCTAAGGTCTCTAGTTGAATACCATTGACTCCCTTAAGTACCAAATCAGATCTTTCTAAGGTAGGCCTTGAGGCTTCAGGTAAAAGTTCATAAGTTTCCAAGGAGATGATGGTTGACGTGGAACCACTGTCGATCAAGAAATCTATTTGAAGGCCATTAAGAAATCCGGAAATATAAAAAATATTGTCCCATTTCCCTAGTGTCTCTCCACAAACACCATATCTATCTTCTATATCAGTAGGCCCCCTATTTCCCGTCACCTCCTGGCCTAATGAGATGGCGGGTAGAAGTTTCCCGACATCTGATTTGGCTGATTATATGCACCTTCCTGTTTTGCTGGTCTATTTCTGGCTTTGGGACATTGCTTTATGAAATGCGAGGAACTCCCACACCCATAGCACAGATTTTTTTCTTGCCCATTTCTTCTCATTTGGTTGTATCTTTGGCTGGGTCTCTGTTCTAACTGTTCAAGTCGAGACATTATTTTGCTCAAGGTTTTTGAAATGTCGTCTTCTTGCTGTTTTGAGTCTGCTCTTACCATTCTCACTGCTCTCTTCTTTTCCGTTCCGTCTCCTAGTATTGACTCATACCTCTCTATAATGTCAACTGTTTCGGCTATAGCAGAAAAATTCCTGTCGATGCAGCGACACTTCATTTCCAAGGAAATAGATTTGTAGAGTTGATTTAAGGCTAATGCTTCTTGGGCTCTAGCATCTAAGTTAGGGTGAGCTCTTTGAGACATCTGTCTAAGGTCATCTCCTAAGGATGCAATTGATTCATCTGGTTTACGCTTCCTTCCTTCTAGCCTTGAAAGCCATCTCCTTTGTTGACGGGAGCTGCCGAACCTCTGACTCAATTCTCTTATTAGCAATGAGTAGTCATACTTTTCTTCTTTGGGAAGGCTGATGTAAAATGTCCTTGCTGGTCCCCTCAAACTTGCAGCCAAAGCTAGTACACTTTCTTGTTCAGACCATTTCCCCAGCTCGGAACATAGTGTGAAATGGTTTATGTACTCCTCCCAGTCCTCAGATCCACTGTATGGTTCAGGTTTTACTGGTAATCCAGCCTTCTTTGAAGTAGTCTCTCTGTAGCCTCCCAATGACATTGGATGGATATCAGTTCCACAGTCTTCTCGAGATCTCATCATATATGGTCTTTGATCTTCCTTTTGACGATTATGTATATCACCCTGCCCTAATTCATCAGGTTCAGTAAGATCTCTTTCAGATCCCTCTTCTCGTTGATTAATAATCACTTCAGTATCAGAATCATCTGCCATATTCGAACGTCAGGAAAATAACAATCTAATACATATTTACAAGTTTATGTACATATTTTTTATCCACCACTCACAAAAGCCTCGAGGAATAAGTTCGAATCCTGGATGCCACTTTGGACTGTGACATCCCACTTCTGACACCATTTTTGTAACAGGCTGGCCTTAAAATATCCTTATTTCCATTGTAGATGTTTCACACAGGAAGTCCATATGTTCTTTATAACTGTTTATTAACTTTCATCGCAAACATAAATAAACAAGTCAACATTTGATGCACAAAACTGTGTTGGTCCCTTTATCAACATACACACATTTTGTCAGGGTCTCATGAGTGGTGGGAGATAGCTCAGTATAAAGTTCTAGGTATCTATAGCCATAATGGGGTTTAAAGGGGAATAACTCTTATAACAAAGAGTGTTGTACCAGGAGTAAAAATGTGAAGAATATCAATAATTTACATTTTAAGAGATTGTCAGTATTTCACTTGTCAGGAATTATTGTCAGGAAATCCGGGTGTCAGGAATTCTGGGTGTCAGGAATTTTAGGTGTCAGGAATTTATAAAATGTCAGGATTCTGGGTGCCAAGTTATGAAAACAATCTTTATGCTGAATAATAATTAGAACTGTCTTTATAAAAATCATGATCTTGGTTTTCAGAATTCATCATACCTAATAAGATAACAATTAGTCAAGTGCTCAGTGGAGCTATCTGACAAAACTGAGAAGTTGCCTCACTTATATAGCTTTTGCATCTAGAAACTAACCAATCAAAATGCTTCATTTCCCTGACAATCCTGACAGGCATAAATTATTATAATTCTAACAATTATAAGCAATCATACATTACCATATTATCCTATTGACTATATATTCTCTATACACAATAAAATGAATGCATTACTTACTTAATAAATCAAGAATTAAACAATTCTTAACAAAGCACTATCTCTTGTGGTGTAACTATAGTAGACATCAGTGATTAGGTAATATTCTTGAGCAATATAAATAGTGCCAAATGACAACAATCATAAATAGAGAAATCAAATCTACAGGTATCTTTTAAATAGTTCAAGTTATAAAAACTATAATTTAATAGGAAACTACTTGTACTAGCTTTACATTATCACAAATCCAAATTATTGCGCCAAGTGAACTATTTGATGATGTCATACAATGGCGGCCTACATGCACTGACAGTAGATGTCATGTCATAATAAATACAGTGTGGATTACTTAATAACATCACTGAAACTCCTGTAAGTAGATTCTTATATTCATTGACATAAAATCTTGATCAATTTAAGAACATAGCCTTGTCAGGTAAATAATAATCTAAAGACATAAGCATCTAACAGAAAAACATGTGGGACCAACACAATGGTAAATCTATAAACAAAACAAACATGGCATGATTCATGGAATATACCAATAAATACATATACAATAACTTGAACTTGAACTTTTACAGATAAAATCTACCCCCCTTTATCTAATAAAGTAATGAATATTACAATTGATTGTATACTCTTTAACGTCCCTCTCTAGAATATTTCACTGATATGGAGACGTCACCGTTGCCGGTGAAGGGCTGCAAATTTAGGCCTATGCTCGGCACTTGCGACCTTTGAGCGGGGAGTTATCTTTATCGTGCCACACCTGCTGTGACACGGGGCCTCGTTTTATACGGTCTCATCCGAAGGACCGCTCCATTATAAGTCGCCTTTTACGACAAGCAAGGGGGTACTGGAGACCTATTCTAGCCCGGATCCCCACGGGGTTATTAAGAAAGAAAGTCTCGGACAGTTATCGTACGGTACTATAATGAACTATTAAAATAATACACAGATCCACTTTTGTTGCGTTCAAATTAAAAACACTTCAAGAAAAAGTAAGTAGTGTGTTAGCAATTTTGCCTTATGTATGATATGGTATTTCCTAATTTTACGTAAAAAGATGTAATGAAATTCCTTTGCATTATAAATAATTTTAATTTTTATGTATATGGCCCATCAGATTATTATCAAGTAGACAACATGGTTTAATCATACTTCACAGAAAAGAGTAATCATCAACTGTCGAGGGATTACATTCGCCGAATGCTTCTTGCCATGCTCGGGCAAGCAGACAAATCGGTATTAAATTATGTGTGAAAATGTTCGACTTAATGATAGGTTTTATTTGCTTACAAAGTCATTGTTTCGACAATAAATTTTGTGCATTGTTGACTACAATCAATGCTGATATTCTTGTTTCACCCACTTATTTATCAATAGCTTGTCTAGATTTTGAAATTGTTGATATACGTAGAACATAATTTTGCGTATCAAATCATTTAAGAAACAAACTCAAAGCCACAAGCAAGTGGTAAAAGCAAATGTGCAAGCCGATCACGGAATGGTGTTTCATTTTTTCTATAATATTGAAGGGTAGCCATCTCTTATCTGCAACTCCACCTATAACACTGAATAAAATTTTATAATACTTTCACTGATTCTTTATTACATAATGCCATGGTGCACCTCCTATTTTACTTTATGATCTGAAACCTACATTTCGAGTATCTAAGAGCAAAAATGGTCTTTGCCATTATAATCATATGGGTGTCGGGGGATATCATTTTGTAAGCCCATTGCTCACAGTAACTCTAGGTGTGATTAGATATTTCTAAGGAACTAAGAAGGTCGTTTATTTCTAAGAATTAAAAATTTTTCGAAACTTTAAGGGGCTTTTTACTCTCTGCTTTCAAATTTAAGACAACATTAATATTTGTAAGGTTTAATGGAGCATGCTTTTGCTTGCGAAAGCAATATTTCTTGTACTGTCGTGTGTATGGAGTTGGGTTCTTTTCAGTATAAGATTGCATTTGCATTCCATCAATAACACGCCCTAGATACGTGTTTGCTCACAAATTGTTAAAATATATATGGACACTTGCAGTGATCTGGCAATTTGTTTGCCCTTTAAAGGCCCTAAGTTGCAGATGTTTTCATATATTTTTCATATATGTATAAAATATTAAATTAAGTTATTGGTGGGATGCATATCCAATCGTTAAATGAAAACCAAATTCATACTCACAACTATGCAAGAAGCACTGCTTTAATTTGCAAGCAAATTCATGCCCCATCGACCCTTGCTGTGTCTTATTGGATTTGAAAGAAGGGAGCAAATAATCTCTAAAAGAAATTCCTAGAAATATACGACCTTTTTAAGTTCTTGGCAATATCTAATCACAAAATGTAGGCTTGACATTGATGTATATGTAGCTTGAAATACGATTAAAGGTAATTTCAAGGTATTGAGACTTCGAATTTTACGATTTGGGAGTTACTTGCGTATCTTACTATTTCTGACGATATTTGATTGCGACTTAATGATTTGAACTTTTTAAGATTTTACACTAAATTAAAAAAAAAAAAATTGATCCAAAAACATTCAAATTTTCAATTCAAGAGGGAAAACTTACTCTGATAAAGATTGAGGGGAAAATTTGGCTCTTGTGTCAAATTTCCCCTCAGGAGAAAATCCTATACTTTCGCACAGATTCTGAGGGAAAAGCTGGCTATGGAGGAAAACTTTACTCCACAACACAAGTCATACATTTTACCAAGTAATGAGGGATGATAGTCCTATCCAATTTAAATTTGCTCTCTTAGATATTTAAAAATCAAACAACAAAGCTGATGTGTAGAAATACATGTAGATCGAAATATTCAATCAAAGCCTGCTAAGCACTAGACAGGGGGGCTAGCAGTTTTTGCATTACTCAAACATAGCATTGTGTTGTATTCTAGTTATCACGCTTTTATGTAACATCGTGCTGTTTTAGAAGTAATCACAAAATTATGTAACTTTCTGAGATAAATCAGACAGAATGGTTGACTCATCTATATTTTGAAAAAGATTTTTAAATCACTTAACAACAGTATCATTTTGGAAAACTTCCTCCTTTGTCTGCAAACACAGTCCATATATAAATCTTGCAGTTACGAAAAGGGCCATTATTCAAGATGTTTCTTGTATTCCTCTATTTGATAACCGCTGCCCGCGTATGTTTTTCCGTTGACCGTACAAGAGAGGAGCGTGCAACAGGAGAAGACATTGTGCAGGCAGTGGTAGACATCATAAGAGAGAACTGTATCTACACAAACGACAGAGTGTTTCTCAGGCGCCTGGCTTACGTTGAATCAAACGATGGATCAAACCACAATACTTTTAGACCAAACTTTTATGGTGGGATATGGCAGGTTTGCTTATTAGTAATAATTGGTGTCAAATAAATATAATGCTTATAATATGCTTATATGTTAGGCCTAGTTGGGTAGAGATGAGTTTTACTTTAACTTAGTATTTTAGTGCTACTTTTGAATTGCATCCTAGGTAGAGAAGTCAGACTTTGAATCCACCAAACAAAATTATCGTCTTACTGAGAAATACAAAATCATCCATGAAAAGCTAAACATAGCATGGGAAACTGTGCAATGGAGAGACTTGACAAAGCCACTATACTCGGGCCTGGCTGCCAGTTTGGTTTTGGAGTTAAGGGCAGGGAGAAACACGCCTGGTGTTTTGGAAAAGCAAGCTGAGTTTTGGAAGAATTATTATCATCCAGATAAACATGATAAATCAACAGAATTTTTCATTTCTCAAGTTCAAAACATACACAATGGTAAGCAATTCAGTGAAACATATAATCTTTTTTGTACGGTTATCGTAAATCTCTTATATTTTGAAAATATTTGTATTTGTAGCTGACTGCCAGATAGATATGGGATTTATTCTGGACGAATCGGGAAGCATTGGGATGGATAACTTTCTTGTTATGCTCGACTTCGTAAAAAACGTAACTGAAAAATTTGAGATCGGTCCAGAGGCAGTAGAAGTAGCTCTTGTGAAGTTTGAATCTTTTGCTAATTTGGAATTCGGATTTGGTACCTACAATAATCACCATGACCTAAATGTTGCCATCGACAACGCCAACTACACGGGTGGCGGTACAAATATTGCTGCGGGTATTCGCCTGGCCAGAGAATCTGTCTTTCGCTTTGGATCACGGTCGAGTTCAACAAAAGTCGGCCTAGTTATCACTGATGGCTGTTCAAACATATATGATACAGTTCGAGAGTCAAAGTACGCAAAAGATGAAGGTATAGTCCTTTTCGCTTTAGGAATTGGAAGCATTTGTGACGACGAACTCGAGTCCCTGGCCAGCGACCCAAACTGTACACATGTGTTTTTCCTCTCAGGATTTTCTGACATTGACAGCCTAATCTATGAAATTCAAAAGGCGGCTTGCCGAGGTATTTATGTCAATTTCGAATTAGTGGAATAGTACGGTATGGTCTGAAAATCAATTTGCGTATTTTATTTACAAATATACTAAGTATGAGGTTTACAATTTTTATATTTATTTTGGATATAAGAAGAAGAGGAATCATTTGCGCACACGCTAATTTTCTGTATAGAATACTTCGAGCATCAACATTTTGATGTGTTTTTATAAATATAACAATTAACGGTACAGAATTTTCATATTTTGATGCTTACATACTCCATTAAGCTGAATCAAAAATTTACAACTATAATCTGTTCATCTCCTAGCTCCAGTTGTTATTGGCCCATCTCAGACAGTTACATCACAAAGCAACGGGACCAATATTACCACACCAATTACACACACAATAAAACAAACTTTAAGTCAAAACAAAACAGATATAAAGACCGTTGCCGTATCCACAAACAACACTGGGAACGATACTGGCTTAGACAGTGTGATGCAAGTAAGACTTGATAAAAGAAATAGGAGAAAATTTAAAATGACAATTGATGATTTATATATTCTCCTGTAAGAGTTATGTTGTAAAAACTTTATTTTAACATAAATGGCAACACAACATACATGTAATACAATTTCAGTCATGCTAGAATCCAAACAAAGTCTGAATAATTGTACCATAACGAAGATACACATGTATTGCCAATGTTTTTCTTAAAGTTGACAGTTAACTGTGGAATAGTCCATGTGTATATGTCCTACGATAACCCGCACCCCAGTGCAGCTCTCTATAACAATAAAGTGACAGCAACGGACAACCATCCTGCTGTACTTGTCCTGAATAAGACGAAAGATGGACGTCCACTGTATATGACGTATGTGGGGACAAGCTTGCCTGAACACGCAGCTGACTTGAAAAACTGTAGCGACGCTCACTACGTGACAACGATATCGTATGTTAACAAATCAGGTAATGGACTCTTACGAGGAGCGCTGACTTTTACAGTTGACGCTTGCTTTTACACTAGGGCTATGTACGGTAGCTCCTTTATGATATTAATAATTAGCTCAACATTTAATTAAACAAAAATAACGGGTTATTTCAAAGCACATATAAGTTGTCCTTGAAGAAAACGACAACCACCCTTTTCGGTCTTCACATGTTAGTGCCCCTAACACCATACCTATGACCACTAGAAAGGTTTTCTTATGCATTATCAATTCTGTGCTTCCATACATGATACAAGTTTAAATATCCAAGTAAACCGTCAACTGTAGAAGTCACTGCTTCTCGTAAAAGTCCAATAGGAAATGACAAATAATCGAAATACAAGTGGACTTGACTTAATTGTTCAAAATTCTGTTGATTAGTTTTTAAAATTTTTTTTCAATGCTGACATAGTTATTTAAAAGAAATTCTTTCCAAACATTGCTACTGTCACAGTTTTGGTCCAATTTTTATAAGACTTAGTACACAAGTAGATCATACTAAGAAACATAATTCTCTCTATCAGTTTCGACAAATAATGTTGTCAATGGCATGGTAACTAAAAATATATATATTATTCTTTGAATTCCTTTGAAACAATCCTCATCCTACAGGACAGCTTTGGTCTGATCAGACTTATTAGACAAGGTGACTATACTAAGACATATATTTCTTAAACATAAATACAAATCAGTAGAGCATCAGTCTCATTTAATTGAAGTCTCTTACATTTTTTTATCCTGAAGATATTTTTTGTTAACGTGATTTGCAGTGAGACACCAACCAGTTGAAAATTATTTTTTTTTTTTATTTCAGGAATAGAGATAGTCTGCCGCCAAAACGGACATGAGCGTGAATGTACAAAACTCGACTTTCAACTCAATGAGAAATATAAAGATTACTTAAAATGTAGTTCCTCAGGTAGAGTCTTTCAAGTCGAGGTCATGTACCTACTCTTCCCATGATACATTTTATTGCATAATACACATGTAATTGGTCCTTAAGGTAAGTCTGTTGAATCATCAATGGGTTAAATTCTGTGCATTTATCTGTAAATTTATTTCAGGTCTGGATGGAACACCGGTGCCTAACCCATGTACCACGGAAGCAATTCAAAATAACGAGCTTTATCATGCTCATCCATATGATTATACAAAGTTTATCAAATGTGATTATCAGCATAAGATGTACATCACTCAGTGTCCGCAGGGAGAACGGTATTCACAGGTACAAAATAGATTTAAAGTTTATTACAATCAATTGAAAATATTCAAGTTACTGATGTGCAGAATGCAGTTGTAAAATATTTTTAGAGTTATATTTTCCTTCTGATCTAACAGGGTTCACATTCTTGTGGGTCCTCAACAGCCACCATTACTGGAGACAAGACCCCGCTTGACCCGGATGTGAAAAATCCCTGCACCGCACAAACACTGGCTAACCAAGAAATGTTCTTCCCATATGGCAAAGATAATTCAAAATTCATTCATTGTGATGTGTGGGGGAATGCATGGGTCATGAACTGTCCACAGAATTTGGTATGGAACCAAAACAATCATGCTTGTATCGAAGATACACATGTATCGTCTAACCCCTGCATTAAAGACCAAATAGACCGAGGCATCACCATGTTTCCTCACCCAGACCCCCACAAGTACATTCACTGCGACACTGGACTAAATCCATGGGTTCAGTCTTGTGTTGGAGGCACTGTGTTTGATTTTAAAACACAAAACTGTGTGTGGGAAAATGCTCAGTTTGGTAAATAGAAATTGCTGGATTTATTTTTATATTCTTGTTATTATTTGAAAAAAAAAGTAAATTCGTTAAACCAAAAAAAAAAATGATGTATTTGAAATATACTTTGATTGATTTTAATATTTTATTAATTTTTAGCGTTTTTTAAATAGTTCAAGAATATTGCAATGCCTAGTAAAGAATTCATGTTCTTATGTTAATAACACTAAAAGGTCAAGACAAAGGCAAGGAATGAAATGATATGTGAACACGATAAAATATATAATACCCGGAGGTATAACCTCTGTCTAAAAATCAGGATCAAGTTTTATGTATGATATCTACACAGGTAGATGATAAAGTTAAAATTGTTATGAGACGTCAAAAATCCTTACATTCAGTTTGAATATAATTACATTGTATTACGCCTCCATAGCACCTGATCTTACCTCCGATGTTTTGGAGGTCCGTGTTTGCTCTGCTGCTATTTTGTATAGTTTAAAGGACTTTTGATCACTCAAAGTAATTCATAATTTCTATTGTTGCTCCCAAGAATATCAGGAATTTTCAAATTATTTTTTGTGGACTTAGGGATAATAGAGAATAATATCTGGCAAACAATCAATAGTTTTTATCAGGTAAATTGCAAAATTCTTAAATAAGTTGCTTGACTGGTGTTTGAAATCAAACCGAATGATGTTGGTTATCATAAGGTAATGTACTTGGGTCCTCAGAGAATGGCAAGTGATAAGTTAGTCAAGTTGATCTACTGTCATGTATCATGTACTAATTGGCTTAGAATCATCTTGGATTCTTGGTGTGTTTCATCTAAATTGCAGGTTATAATGACCTACCTTTGGACTTTCAAGGCTTTATCTACATATACAGGATATTTACTAGGCTTCAAATAAAGGTGATAGGTTGTAGAATATATCATCAGAACAATTCAAGTCCCTTGGTCCTCTTGTTTTACTATTACATATATATTGATTGACTTGTATTATGTGGAAGGAAATTGAAACCTAAACACCATTCAAAAATTGCGGTTCATCATTGTATTAGTTTAATGTTATTGAACAAATGACTCATACAATAGATTACTACAGGATTTTTCCCCTATATTGTGCCAAGACGTGGGATTTTGAATACTAACTTCAGGACGCGGGATATTTAATCCTATATTCTTCATTTATTGGGATTTTTTGTCCTGTGGGAGAAAAAATCCCATTTTTGCAACGACCATGGGATTTTTTTCCCACATGGCACAAACTATGGGGTCTTTTGAAAAAAAAAATATAATCAATTTTCAGATATATAGCGGTCATAATAACATTAAGTCGTCTTCCATAAAACAGATATGTACATATGTATATTTATATAAACATGTCATCTTTTATGGTCGAAATATTCATAAAGCTTAAATTCAACCGCCAAAATATGGCTAAAATATCATTGACTTGGTGTTAAACAATAATTTAATCAATCAATCAATCATAAAGGTTCAATCTCAAACAATAACATTTTAATTTTAAAAAGTACAGATTAAAATCAAATCAATATTGACTGAAAAATGATTGTCAGAATTGTTACAAGAGATTTTTTTACCAAACAATAAAAAAATGATTCGAAGAAATACTAGATCTAAATAAATGTACACTATCTTATTTCAAGATATTAGTCTAGTTTTTATCCTGCAATTTAATCTTATCTAGAAACCAACAAAAGACCCAAGATAATAGTTAAAGCACATATTTAGCTATCACAAATCTCGTAAAATGTATTCCATTAACTACAACTCTGATTGGTAAAATTAACTATGTGTAAATTGTATACATACATACATACTTATGTTTAGATGCAAATCAATCAATTTCATTTATAGTTAATCGAATTTCTCCAAAAGTTGAGTAATGGTAATAGTACTGTTCCAGTTTTATCAATATGGAACACTTTAAGTTTACAATACAATGATTTAGGGATTAAATTATATTGACTATTGTAAATTAGAATCATACAAAATTATTTGAATAAATAACATCACACATAATTACTCATTCGGCGATAGGATTCCGCGTCATAGAGTAATAAATAGCACACACTTTATTTTCTGAATTATCTCAAAACGAAGAGCCCTAGTAGCAAAGGCAGATAGAAGTTGTATCTTGGAATACTAGCGGTATTTCCCTTAGTGTTGGTACTATTTGATGACTTTGTAGTGCTGACGGACGGTGTTGTACTTTTTGTTGTTTTTCCTTGATTGGAACCTGCGTTTTGTCCTGATGTAGTAGTTTTTCCTTGATTGGAACCTGCGTTTTGTCCTGATGTAGTAGTTTTTCCTTGATTGGAACCTGCGTTTTGTCCTGATGTAGTAGTTTTTCCTTGATTGGAACCTGCGTTTTGTCCTAATGCAATAGTTTTTCCTTGATTGGAACCTGCGTTTTGTCCTGATGCAGGGTGAGTGGTATTCTTGTTAGCACCTTAATGAGGAAATAAAATATTTACGTCGTGAGTAATTTGATTTTTTTAAATAAATTTAACACTAATTTTACTTTTTGTAATTTGCTGCAACTTTATATTTCCTCCATAGAAAAGCTAATAAACTTCAAGGATATTCAGAAGTATATTTAATTAATAAAGAACTTTATGAGTAGAAAATAAAAACAAATTAAAATTGGAGTAAAATTTGCCTTGACATAAAAAATCGAGATAGAAAATAATAGATAATTTGTATACTGCAGTATTACCTGGCGCAGGCGTTGGTTTAGTTGACGACGCTGTTGGAAAGAAAAGGTTTATTGGGAATACAAGGAAAAGACTTTTTAAAAAAAACACTATATTTTTGTTCAGTAAAGTTGACAAAAATGAAGAAATCATATATAAGTTATTTAAAACATGCAAAACTGGAATAATCGGATTATGATTAGTTGATGACATTGCGTTTATTTCCTCCATTAAGTACAAATGATACAAACTTTCTTTCATAACAATACAAATAATTATTAAATGGGTTTATAATAGCTAAATGAATAAGTTGAGTGGCATAGATTTAAAATATTTTCTTTCAAAACTTCATTATAATGTCATATACTAGTAAGTCATGTAGTTGTTTAGATTTTTAAGGTATGTCACTCGTGAAATTAGTTATATCAAGGATATGTGGAATAAGTATTCAAGTAGTATGACTGATGTTATAAAAATTGAATTATAATAAACAGTTTAAAGTAATAGGTTTTGACCGAACTTTTCTAAAAACTTTTCTAAAAAGCTGACGAGTGACATACCGTAAGGATGATAGGAAATATGTAAAATTTTAACAACATAAAAATTTTAAAACCTTAATATTTTAAACAAAATTATGTTTACATTATTTTACAAACAGAATATGTAAAAATTATTATGTCAACCCATGCAATTATTTTCAAAAGTTATCATCTTTCCTTAAATAAGTCCCGAAGGAAATGTAACACGGAGTTTTATGACAATATGTGTTAACTTAGCAACAAGGACAGTATTGTTGTCATCTCTACAAAACCTGATAACTTTTACCTTTTACTGTACTCGCTGATTTGGTTGCAGTAGTTGTCATTCCACCTAAAATTATTCCCAAATCTCAGTTTTTTTGGACAACATCATATATCTTAAAGAAAAAGCAAAAAAGATATAGACTAAACAGAGTTTTACCATTAAATAATAGTTACCTGATGTGGTGTTTGTTGTTCCTGCAGGTGAATTTGACGTACCTATTTCGATGTTGTTTTCAAAGTGAAGGAAAAAAGTTCAGATATCTTAGTCATAAATCATGTACAAATATTTTAGTTCAAACCCAAATTAAAAAAAAGTAAAAAGTAGTGTAAGACTGAATCTGATTTCATTTTTTTTAAGTACAAGTTAAAGTTTCCTAAACATTATTCACTAAAATACAGGTAAAAAGATAAAATTGCTGAAGAGTTTCTGGAACTCTCTTTTTTATTGATATGACAAAGAGTAAAGTAACAAAAAACCTTGATATTGAGACTATCATACATGTATAATAGGTCTGCATAATGATCACTATAAACAATTTATGTATTTTTTTTCTGACTAAATTTTGAGATTGCAACAGATTCCTGTTATATACAAATTAACCCCTTAACTTAAACCCCAAACTTTTAGATTAGGATATACCATACCAGCACTCCATACGCCTTGTCTGCCATCCATCAGTAGAAGAAAAAACATGAACAGAACGAAGATTTTAACAAAGCACTCCATTTTTTTCTCTCCTCCTTATTCAAGATTCCCTATTCCAAAATATATCTCGTATTTTGGTATCCATATTTCACGTTATTTTTCTATTAATGTGTTGAACTAAGTATTTATAACAAATAAGAATCTACACATAAAAATCTTATATATATTTCATTTTATATAAAAACTTACTTTCCAAGCTACTTAAAAAATCACTCTTAAAAAAGTTTTACTTAGTAGTCATTTTTTACTTGAAATAACAAAGATAAGTAATAGATAATTACTAAGCATTTACTTAAAATTTAAAATCAATTACTGAAATATATGTCAAGTACTAGATTCAAATGTTTTACTTGATTTTTTTATTTTAAAGAAATGTTTTACTTACACACTAAAAAGTTTTACTTAGTAATTTATATTTACTTAAATTTGTGTATATAAGTAATAACATTACTTGGTCTTTACTTACATTTTACCACTATTTACTATATATATATAATTAATATTTTAATGCCCCCGTAAACGAAGTTTCGGGGGTGCAGTACTGTATATAGTTTTTGTCGTGTCCGTCTGTCTGTCTAGCTGCCTGTCTAGCTGTCTCTCTGTCTGTTTATCCGCAGAAACTTTAACCTTGCCCATAACTTTTGATTTAGCGGAGTTATGACTTTCATATTTCACATGTGTATTTCTTGTGACAAGACCTTTCTTTGAGTATCACCAAATTTGACCTTGACCTTGAAGTTTGACTCACTTATACACAAAAAATCCAAACTTAATTATTCTTTATCCAAATCTTTTGAACAGTAAATACCAGTTTATATACATTTATACTTCACATATATATTTTTTATTGAAAGAAACTTCATTGAATACCAACAACTATGAACTTTTGACCTTGACCTTGGAGATTTCCATCCTTGTAAAAAAAAACTTTAACCTGGGCCATAACTTTTGAACGATAAGGAATAGTGCTTTCATACTTACATATATGTAATCATTTTGAGAAGACCATTCATAGGATACCAAGAACTTTGACCTTGACCTTGGAGTTTGACCCACTTTTAAAAAGCAAACCTTGACTGTAACTTTAAAAGGATTAGGGTTAGTGCATTCATACTTTACATAGTTCATCCTTGTGACAAGACCTTTCTTTGGGTACCACCAAATCTGTCCCTTTGTCCTTGACCTTGGAGTTTCACTTACATTTCAAAATTGATAACCTTGACCATAACTTCTGAAGGGTTGAGGCAAGTGTTTCCATATTTCACATATGTATTTTTTGTGACAGGACCTTTCATTAGATACCAATAACCTTGACCTTTTGACCTTGGAGATATCAAGAAATACCAATAATTTAAATTTGCATATAAGAAAAGTTTAACCTTTGCTATGTTACCATACGGGGGCGTAGGTGTTTCACAAACACATCTTGTTTAAATTGTATTTAATTGATTTACTTAAAACAAAAAATTATTTACTAAATCAAGGAGAATTCAGAGCAGTAATTACTTAAATATGGTAGTCTAATCACTATCGGGATTGAATTCTTGGCTGTCATATTAATTGTCTGTGAGGAGGAGTTATCTTTCTTCTAAATATTCTTTCATGTGAAAAAAAAGGTCACACTAATAAAAATGCGATATTAAGTACTTGAAATGTTTAACCATTTTTAAAATGGTCCTTAAAAAGATACAACTTATTCAATTTTTAAGGCTTTCGAAGTTGGAATCAAATGTTTTATTGTAATATATAATAAAACAATTACAAAGAAATTGGCAAAAGAAATTGAAAGTATAAATGTTTCCATCATAAGTAGATTTCTTCTATTAAACTATTTACAGGGCCCAGTTAGGGATCTCTGATAAAGAAATCTTTGAGTAGTACTCACATGTAAGAGGCTGGGTACCTTGCATTGCAGTTTTTCATTTACTTAGTATTCTTCTGAGTAATAATATTCTAGATTTTAATTAATTTCAGAATTACATTTACTTAGTAATAATTCATAAAATTTAGTAAATAGAAAGCATATTATCTCTAAATTAAGTAATAATAATTTAACAAAAATGAGTAGTTCATTTACTAACTTAAAGTAATATAATTCCTATAGTTTAAGTAATTCTATTGATACTTAGTAAATCATTTTATAAGTAAATGAATTCATCCTTATTACTAATTATGTTTACAATTACTAACCGTGATAGTCATTTACTTGCTATTCTGACTAAATGGATTACTAATAATTACTAGTTTTTCTTAATCTAATATCTTATTTTAAAAACAACAAGTAAAACTTTTTTTAGAGTGAGCTAGAATACTCTTAAACGTTCGAGATATTTTAACTCCTACTACCTTTTTATTTTCCTGTTTAAACTGGATGCCAATCAAGGATTATTTTATGTTTAGACAGGTCACTTTTCTATTTAAGGTTTTAAACAATCAAATGCCAGATTATTTGAATGTGTTTCAATATACAAGAGATGTCAATTGTCGCCAAACCAGGTCGAATGATTTTATGTCAAACATATTGTATTTACCACGAGCCAAAACAGAAAATTACAAACGTTCTTTTAGATATTCACGTGCATTTTTATGGAACAAACTGTCACAAAATGTTCGAAATTCTAGGTCAGTGGATATTTTTAAATCTGTGTATCTCGCTGAGTATTTTAACAGACTCAATACTTAAAATGGATTTTTTCCCAATGTTTGAGTGTATAAAAGATATGCTTCCTCATGTATATGTTGTATTTTATATCTTGTGTTTATATTAAGATGTTAATTTTGTATATCCTTATGTGATTGTAAATATGTTATAATGCAGGACCACAATGAAAACTAGCTTTATGCTAATTGTGTTATCCTGGATAAATAAAGGTCATTATTATTATTGCAGCCCGGAGGACCTGTATATGACTGTATATACCCAGTAATACAGTATTACTAACAAACATGTTAGGTATTAGAAATGAAGACAAATACCTAAAATCTACTTTTTTGTGAAGAACGAAGTTATTGACTTCTGATTCTTGTCCGTATCAGTAGGCTTCTTTTTCTGAAGGGAGAGAGGACCGGGCTGCTCTATACATATAAGTTTATCTGTTGGTGTATGGGGATTGGGGTGGGAGTAGTTATTTAGAATTAAAGGTTTTCTAAACATTGAAAAGATTGTTAATTAGGATGTTCTTTCCGTTTATAAATTACGAGATACATAATATATTTACTTCCATGAAGTGAATCTGTAAAAATGTATATGTTTTTCACATTTAATATATAAAGTTGCTTATCATTTATTATCAAAAAACGACAGGTCCCTTTTTTTAGAACATCAAATTTTACTTCTCGGATAAAAACGTACTCTGCACAGTTCATGTTTTATATTCTAAAATTGAAAATTAATACATTTTTAAATATAGGTGATGCGTGTGTCTAACTTCAATTTATATTTTATGCAGCCAAACTTTACTTGAGGAATTGATGAAGTTTAAATTGTATCGTTTTTGATTGATTTTTATCCGACTACAAGATTTCAAAATATTCGCGACTATCGTCTCCATCAATAATACGCATTCCTTTTCACACATATCGAAGCGGTTTGATGAGCAAGACTCATTTTCATTGTTTACTCTATATATTTCCCGGGCGACAATTGATGGTTACATCAATGTTTTCTTGTTATTATTTATTATAGAGGGAGATGAATAGGGAGTAATGACATCATTTTATTACATGTCATTGTTATTAATGCATATCTAATTTTAAAACCAGTCTTACAATGTTAAGTTCATTTTCAAATGTATAATGACAATGTTCAATCAAAGGACAAATTTGTGTAAATTCTCTTCATATTCATTTCTTTATATTTGGAATTGTACTTCAAAGTTTTACTGTCTAAAACCATTTTAACATTTATCTTTGTTCCAAATTGACAAAATTTAACTAGAAACAAAACGAAACGTCAAATTATGCATTGGTACATGTATCAGGTACTACAGTGTATGTAAGACATACCTGTTACAGTATTCACTGCCTGGTCATTCGAATAGAGTATAAAATAAATTGTCTAAAAAATCTTTCCATAGCCAATAACTGAACAAACAACTTCCGTTTGCAATAAAAGCATGTTTTCAAATGCAAGGATTTTTTTACAAGGAAATTAAAAGCACAACAGAATCATGATTGGATTTAAGTTTTAATTTCAAAGGGAATAATTATTATGTACAACCACACCATCCGTCTCCCGCCCCCGCGGTCCAGAATCCGTTGACTTTGTTGTTGGCGTTGGTGCACTCATACGGATTCATAGGGCTCACCGCGATCCTCTTCTCAGCTCTTACTTCTTCCTGCAAGTCTGACAGGATATTTTG